TGGTGTATACCCTGCATTGCGGGGATACAAGATCTGACGGATCAGACAGACTGGTGTTTGATGGACCTGTCAGTGCCATGCTGGTGCTCGTGGGTTACACCACGTCATGACCTGAGTGACGTCGCTCCTTCATATACACAGCGTTTCGGGGATAATTTCCAGAAAATGTGGTATAGCGATTAATGCACAGTTTGGGTTAATGATGAGATAAATTGTTTGATAGGCATTACTTAGAAGTTGGTGGATGACAAGGTAGACACAATTTTATGTATAACAACTTCGTTAATACTGTAAAAAGATTGCTTGACAACGGTATAAGGATCTATACCGAAACGTCGCTTTTTACAGTATTAAAGAAGTTGTTATCCACAAAATTGTGTCTACCTTGTTATAATTAGATGTGAGGACTACTTAAATTTGCTACGTTAGTAATGCCTATCACAGTTTAGATGTAGTTTACACCAGTTGGAAAGTGAGGCTGGAGGGAGATTTCTGTCCAGCGCAGAGATTTTCTGTGGAACTTTTTTTTGTCTGATGTCGTGGAAGACTAATTTCATTTCTTGATGGTGTGCAATGCATAGGAACAAATGCGTCATTAGCCATTCAAAATATTAAATTCCCGTGTTCAATATGCTTCTATATACACAGTAAATACAGATATTACACTCGAACCCGGGTCTTCGGCGTGACGAGCGAACGCTTTAACCACTAGGCTACCCGACCGCCCCATATTGATATGAATATTATCACATGTGTACAAGGGGGCGGTCGGGTAGCCTAGTGGTTAGAATGTTCGCTCGTCACGCCGAAGACCCGGGTTCGATTCTCGACATGGGTACAATGCGTGAAGCCCATTTCTGGTGTCCCCCGCCGTGATATTGCTGGAATATTGCTAAAAGCGGCGTAAAACCATACTCACTCACATGTGTACAATTTTCTTCCATACTTGCATGTTGTGGACCTCCGACATGATCAAATACATAAATATGGCTAAAATGAAAAAGGTCGATGTTTTGAACTTCAAATGAAAAACTAAGCAAATCCGTGACCGAACAATAATTCTTTGTTCTGTTTTCAATTGAGTGAGTTTTGTTAAACGCCGGTTTAAACACTACATGTAGTTCCCGGCGGGGAACACCAGCAATGGGCTTCACACATTGTACCCATGTCGGGAATCGAACCCAGGTGTTCCGTGTGATGGGCGAACGCTTTATCCACTAGGCTACCCGACCGCCTGGTACCGTTTTCAATCTACATCTTCTATGACAATCAGCTTGGGCCAGACTTGCTCATGTTCAAATATTAGAAAACACTTCCTGTCACCTCTAGAATCACCACATTTTATCTCAATCTCATTAAAATCAGACCTAAGTTCTCGCTGCCGCTAAACAAAGATCTGAGGACATGCCATTACGGGTCAGGTCAGAACGACCTTTCGCGAACTTTGACCGACCACAGAAATGAATAACAAGAAGTCGACATCAGAAAGCAGCTTTCTCGAGCTTTACGGCACTCGTTTCACCTGGCGACTTCCATTTCAGACTACAGTTCTCGATTAAAATTTTGAAAACTGAACAAACGAACATTCATGAATGTCAGATATATGGTTGAGATTGTATGGCAGTGCTTCCCACGTATTGTGCAACGCCTCCTCCGTTCAAATGTTTATCCCTCGGAAGCGACAGATAGACTATTATTTTGAAGGAATCAGCCGTAACTATCGTTCGGAAAACCCTTAGTTAACATTTTGGAGGTTGCATGATTAGAAAAGATACGTCGACTGTCACTTTCATGATCTGGTAAATGACGCTTTGACTGGTCGGAAGAAAGGTCGTTCTATCGTGACCTGTAAGGGGATGTCCTCAGATCTTTGTTTAGCAATAGCGAGAACTAAGATCTGATTTTAATGAGATTGATTTTATCTGTGCACGGTGTTGTCATAAATCCCAAACATGCAACTGTTAAAATGAACAAAGTCTCATACTTGTTCATATGAACACATCTGATAACTTTCATACCATGTCAAAACGTTTGCTCAATTCTCACATGATGAGGGCGAAAAAGGGCCCTTACCTACAAAGTCCTAAATTGCTCTTGGACAGGCCAAAGGGACCCTTGAGGATCGCTCGCTGACTTGGTTGATGTATGTCATCGTATCCCAATTGTGTGGATCGATGCTCATTATGTCAATCACTGGATTGTCTGGTCCAGACTCGATTATTTACAGACCCCCGTCATATAGTTGGAATATTGCTGAGTGCGGTGTTAACAACAAACAAACAAACAAAATCTTGCAATGACGAAAGAAAATATCCCCACCGTCTGTTTCCTTGTTTATTTTCAGTTTACAATCAAGTTCTGACAGTGTGGGCCATGTTGAACGTACACAGGACGTACAGGTGCCCAGCCTACTTGCAATCACCGACTGGACAGTACAGCGAGATTCCTGTCACATACACCTTCACAAATACACCTCAAAAGGTTTTCTTATTCAAGGAGAAGCCGACCACTTAGCATAGCATACAAACACATGTTAAGGTCATATCCTATCCCAAGAATTTTTCTATGACATGTTCTCTGGTCTGCTTTTTTCCCCCTAGAAAGTTTATAAAACAATAAAAATAATACAATTTTATCCATTTTTCATAATACTTGGTTGATTTATGAGCAGCTTCTCTTAACTGTCTCACCACAGACATGAGTTCAGCCTAAAGAGTGAGTGATTGAGTGAGTTGGGTTTAACGCTGCATTTAACATTATTCCAGTAATATCACGGCGTGTCAGCTTAATGTGGGAGGAAAGCCTGAAGTGATGCAGGTCTCAGACGTTTACCACTTCGGTGAAACCCACGAGCATAGGTATGGTGCTGACAAACCAAGAAACATAATCGGGACGAACCAGATTCAAACCAACAATCATAGGTTTCTGGCGAGCCAAAGCGACGCAACTCTGCACAGCGAATCGCTGAGCCTTTGACGACTGGGACACTCTGCCCCCTCAGCGTAAAGAGATTACCCAGGCCTGCCAATGTAGCTGTAACCCAATTGATCTTCAAAAACCGGATTCTACAGGAGCTTTTGCAACCTGGTTTTGTTTGCTGCAGTTTGGTTTTCATTTCAACATGCACTGGGTTCAAACTAAATCAAGTTCCTAAACCGAGCCCTGGACAATGATGCCTTCTCAAAAATACTTGTTAATAAATGTTAATGTGGATACCAGACAGCCTGTTCCTTCACTGCATTGTGTATCAACAATTAATTCCTTCACTGCATTGTGTATCAACAATTAATTCCTTCACTGCATTGTGTATCAACAATTAATTCCTTCACTGCATTGTGTATCAACAATTAATTCCTTCACTGCATTGTGTATCAACAATTAATTCCTTCACTGCATTGTATATCAACAATTAATTCCTTCACTGCATTGTGTATCAACAATTAATTCCTTCACTGCATTGTGTATCAACAATTAATTCCTTCACTGCATTGTGAATCAACAATTAATTCCTTCACTGCATTGTGAATCAACAATTAATTCCTTCACTGCATTGTGTATCAACAATTAATTCCTTCACTGCATTGTGTATCAACAATTAATTCCTTCACTGCATTGTGTATCAACAATTAATTCCTTCACTGCATTGTGTATCAACAATTAATTCCTTCACTGCATTGTGAATCAACAATTAATTCAAACTTGACATAGCTAACAATGTTCAAAGCAGAGCCGACCGCCTCCGTGGTCTAGTGGTAGAGCGGAAGGTCCACGGTTCGATCCCCGGCCGCATCATACCAAAAGACGTTAAAAGATGGTACTTGTTGTTACCCTGTCTGGCGTTCGGCATTAAAGGGCTAAAACAAGGACTGGTCGGCCTGGAGTCAGTATACTGTGTCTGAGGGGGGTATTCATCTTAAACTGTGGCATGGTATCTCAGTGAGCTAGCACTATAAATTGGCATCAGTCTGGACTAGTACAAGCAACCACACACACGTGCATTCACGTCGCTATATAAGTGCAATAATCTTGGACGCGATGTTAAACCCAATTTCACCTCACCTCACCTCAAAGCAGAGCCCGTCCAAATTCATATTTAGTATTAAAAAACAAGAGGAAAGTAATTTGGGTAAGAAAATGAATCACTGACCATGCATTGCAGACCATTGTAACATCATTGATTACCATGACGCCACAATCATATGGCATCCCTAATCTATCTGCCACTGAAGCTGGGAAGGTGTACTTTTTACACTCAAGACAACATTTGTTATTGTTTACAAACTAAAAACGTTCAAAGAATGATTTAGGATGATGAATATAATCTAAGCCTTGAGTCTTTGGACATGAAATATATCAACAGTTGTCAATATATTTGATATCAGAAGACACATGGATTCTCTCTATACTAATTTGCCAAACTGATAAAAATGGAGTGAGTGAGTGAGTGAGTGAGTTGGGTTTAACGTCGCTTTTAACAGTATTCCAGTCATATCACGGCGTGTCAGCTTAATGTGGGAGGAAAGCCCGAAGTGATGCAGGTCTCAGACGTTTACCACTTCGGTGAAACCCACGAGCACGGGTATGGTGCTGACAAACCTAGAAACATAATCAGGGCGAACCGGGATTCGAACGATAAAAATGGAAACAGAGAACACAAAAGCGTACATACCTTTATTTCCATGCATAGAACTAATTACACGACTTTTATTAAATCAATAAACTAATCCCGTTTTCAAAATACAACATGTTTCTTTTGTTGTCCTACTGATGGCCCAGTTTGTTGTGATAGTGTTGGAGTACAAAGGTAAATCTAACATGTGCCTTTGAAAGACAAATAGTAAACCTGGAAGAAAATATGTTAATTGTGAAATGATAAAATAGAGGTAAACTCCACTTGGATATTTCCTGACAAGCAGTGTGCACCCTCAGTGCCAGTTCAAGGGGTAGTGTCAGGTCAGAGATCACTCGTGCTCGAGGATGTAGGAAGGGAGATAATCGCCTCAGTTATCTCCCTTTAGTGTGCTTTCAAGTTCACCAGACTCCTTCAGTTCCTGTGGAAATAAGAATTCTTCTGATAATAAGATCTTGTTTTCTTTTCGAATAATTGAAAAAAACAACATAAGGCACATAGCACACAACAGTAAATATAAAACACACTTTAAACTTAATTTTATCTCATATAACTACAGGGCACAATTAAACTATATTAAACATGCACAAATGGAAAAAAAACTATTAAAAAACTGCAACCTAATATTTATGACGGCATGCACAAAGTGCATGTAAGTAAAATTGTGTCTGACTGAACCTTACTAGACAGCTTGTTGCTTCTCTGTATACAAAGGGTTGTTTCAACAAATTTTATATATATGATATGTTCGGTTGTGTGCAAGGCAATAAATATTGTATGTTTTTCAGGTCGTTGCCATGTAAACTCGAAAAATAATTTTTTCAGAAATCCCAACCTATCAAAAGGCACCAGTTCACAACTAGGCCTATCTCAGTGCCAAATTTGGTTAAGATATCTCTCATGGTTTTTGAGTTCTGCTCCGGAAACTAAACATGACGGATGGACGGACAGAAGGATTGAATGATGGAATGACGGACAGACAGCACCCAATCCTAATAAACTCCAAACATAACACACATGTACACGAAATAGGAAAGTGAATTTATCTTCCTAAATCAAACTGTACCTTGATGATGTCGAGTCCCCCAATGAGTTCACCGTTCACATACAGCTGGGGGTAGGTGGGCCAGTTGGAGAAAGTCTTCAACCCCTGCCTCACCTCGTTGTCAGACAGGATATCAAACGTGTCATACTTCACCCTGCAACACAACCACCAGATACAAGGCAAGGGACAGCACAATAACAGACCTAGACCTCAAGCACCACTGCCCACAACGGCAAGACATCCAGCATAGTCGTCTTCTAATTTGATTAATACAATAATCTGTAACATCTGGGATAAACACTTTTTGCAAAACTTACAAGAATTTGTTCTGGCTATCAAGTTTCCCTTACCGTTTTCACCCTAAACATTGACTTTTCACTCCCCTAAATTATATATACATGTACACTTGTTTTATACTGCCGTGTCACTTGTTGATGCTGACAAACTCCAAAAAATAATCAGGGCATTTGGTATTTAAACTGACAATAAAACCTTGGTCTGCACATTGGTACCTTAGATTCCTGGGTCATCTGTGCTCTGTTGTGAGTTTGTGAGTTTGTGAGCGAGTTTGTGAGCGAGTTTGTGAGTTTGTGAGCAAGTTTGTGAGCGAGTGGGTATTGTTTTAAGGCGCTTTTAGCAATATTCCAGCAATATCAAAGCAGGAGACACCAGAGTGAGTGAGTGAGTATGGTTTTACGCCGCTTTTAGCAGTATTCCAGCAATATCACACTTTGTCCCAATGTCGGGAATCGAACCCGTGTCTTCGGCGTGATGAGCTAACGCTTTAACCAATAGGAAACCCGACGGCCCCAGGGACACCAGAAAAGAGCTTCAGACATTGTATCCATGTGGGGAATCAAACCTTGGTGTTTGGCGTGACGAGTGAACACTGTAACCACTAGACTACCCCACTGCCCCTTTCATGCAACAAGCAGGACATACAGACTCATGTGATAATCTCCATAACCGTCACGTTGAGTTGGGCTTGAAGAGCTCACCCTGTTTCTCCAAGAATGGCAACTGTCGTCTTGCTGAAGCCGCACCTCGGTGCATCAGGCTGACCCTTCATGAACAGCATCACCGTCGCCTTCTTGACCAGCTGCTTCAGTCTGCAACATCAGATACTGCATATGACCAAAGATAAGCCAAACTTTGAGGACCAGAAAAAAGATTCTGTAGAAAGGGGTTGGTATGTAAAGGTTACACTTTCATCAAACTATGTTTCTGTTGGTTTAGAACATTGTACAGCTTCAGGTGAATGAAGAACGCAACAACAAACTTTGCCAATGAAAGTGTGAAATTTGCGATTAAACATCACTAGACATGATGATTTACCATTTCGATTGTATTTCTTGTTATGCTAGGCATTGTTTCGTATGCAGGCATTAAAATGATGTGAGTATTGTCTCGTTAACCTATCCGGAAACAGCAGTCAGCTGGACCCACGTTTTCATGTAATGGCTGACCATCTAACGTACACAGGTCAACCATGCTGTATTTTTACAACATATCCATTTTGAGATTTTTGACAAAATAGTCAGATTCAGCCATTCTTGAACAAATTAAAGAGCTGTATACAAGACGGCTGCAAATATCAACATCATAGACATTTTGGTGTTTGAGAAGCTTGGTAGAGATATCAAATATGGCTGCTTGGTGGACATCTTGAATTTCTGACTTTGTCAGCTGATGCAAGGAACAAACTTTACTCCCTTCACATTCAGAAACAACCACATACCGTATTTGACGTAATAAGCGCCCCGCTCTAATAAGCGCCCACGGCGAGTTTTGCTAATATATTGGCTAGTGAACAATCCCAATTAGCACCCCTTCCGATTGATCAATGTACACAAGAATGATTTGTTCGCGTATAATACGCACTCATGTGTTATATGCACCCTTAATTATGGGCAATTAAATTCTGGAAAAATATATCTGTCGTATATAAACATTTCAGGTTGTCTGCATAAACCACGAAATTTTCCTTTCAACTCTGTTTTTTTTCCACCAAAATAATATTCTAATAAGAGTCCCCTATTTCTAATTTTGAAAGCGCCCGGAATTTCTGGCCTCAATTGTAGCGCCACCAGTGGCGTTTATGAGTTTTGTCCCTTAAATGTCCATCCTATTGACCAATCAGATTCCACCTCTCAATATCAGTTGCATTTGCTTCAAACAAAATGGTGGCACCCAGTCAAGACGATCTGATCGATAATCAAAATCTATATTGTGGCAAAACGGGTCTTACTTCGAGAAGTGCATCAAATCACATGAGCACCTTGATTAAAAACATGAAAAAGATTTAGATAAGTTTGCGGTACACATACTTTTCAAATCCTGCAATTGACCAATATCTGCATTCAAGTTTACAAACCGGATGTCGATTACGTTACGTGATTTTGATTAGATTCGTTAGTCCAGCCAAAATAAAACTCCATTATTCCAGCCTAGTTTGACAAAGGATGGAAATTGGACTTTTATAGTCAGTTACCTAACTCCCTTGCCTCGGGAACATGGCCTTGATAATGCCAGTTCTGTGCGAGTTACTGCCTGTCCTTCCACAGAGCCCTCCAGGGGCCATCTGCATGAACTATGGTAATGGAGGTTTGGATGCAATGTCATTAACTGACATCTTGAATATTTATTCGGTGTGTCAGTGAGTGAGTGAGTGAGTGAGCTGGGCTTAACGCTACTTTGAACAGTATTCAAGTTACATCATGGAGTGTCAGCTTAATGTGGGAGGAAAGTCTGAAGTGATGCAGGCAGTGCCGTAGCCAGCTGGGGGGGGGCAGTTTTTTTACAGAAAACATTTTTCCTTGTGAAAGTTAACTTTTATAAAAAATGAATAATCTTATTTGCCCCCCAGTCAAAAAAAGTTAACTACGGCCTTGGATGCAGGTCTCAGACATTTACCACTTCGGTGAAACCCAAGGGCACGGGTATGGTGCGGACAAATCTAGAAACATAATTGGGGACACTGGGATTTGAACCCACAATTATAGGCTTATGGCATGCCAAGGGACAAAACTCTGCATAGTGATATTTATTCAGAGTTGTCCATTTATATTTATGTATGTTAAACATACATAGTTAAAAGATAAAAATTTGTATGGCATTCAGTTATGGCACAGCCTAAGGCCTCATAATGTGAGTGAGTGAGTGAGTGAGTGAGTGAGTGAGTGAGTGAGTGAGTGAGTGAGTGAGTGAGTGTGAGTGAGTGAGTGAGTGAGTGAGTGAGTGAGCGAGTGAGTTGGGTTTAATTCGACTTTGAACATTATTTCAGTTAATGTTTATATACAAGTGTCAGCTTAATGTTGGAGTAAAGCCACGACATTAACACTTTGATGAGACCCATGAACAAGGTATGGTGCTGACAAACCAAGTAACATCTTTTCCTCAGAATGATGATGATGTATAACGTACATACATTAATAGTTAACCTGTATTTGTCATAAAAACAGAGCCAAGATTTTGGCACTTGAGTGCATGCTGCTTCACATTGCAGTCCCTTGACCTGCAGTAGTGAAATCACATCCAAGAAGTATCTAGCATCATGAAGTCTAGCCAACGATCCCAATGCTCTCAACCAAGGCAGGAAAATGTGCACAATGGTGTTAGCATTCTTAATGTGACCAGGCAATATCACACGGCTATCCTAACACCCTCAATCAAAGCAGGATGCCCTGTGAACGATAGTGTACATATTCTAGATGTGACCAGGCAATATCACATGGCTATCATAACACCCTCAATCAAAGCAGGATAGCCTGTGAACGATAGTGTACGTATTCAAGATGTGACCAGCCAATATAAAATGGCTATCATAACACCCTCAATCAAAGCAGGATAGCCTGTGAACGATAGTGTACATATTCTAGATGTGACCAGGCAATATCACATGGCTATCCTAACACCCTCAATCAAAGCAGGATAGCCTGTGAACGATAGTGTACATATTCTAGATGTGACCAGGCAATATCACATGGCTATCCTAACACCCTCAATCAAAGCAGGATGCCCTGTGAACGATAGTGTACATATTCTAGATGTGACCAGGCAATATCACATGGCTATCACAACACCCTCAATCAAAGCAGGATAGCCTGTGAACGATAGTGTACGTATTCAAGATGTGACCAGCCAATATAAAATGGCTATCATAACACCCTCAATCAAAGCAGGATAGCCTGTGAACGATAGTGTACATATTCTAGATGTGACCAGCCAATATAAAATGGCTATCCTAACACCCTCAATCAAAGCAGGATAGCCTGTGAACGATAGTGTACATATTCTAGATGTGACCAGCCAATATAAAATGGCTATCCTAACACCCTCAATCAAAGCAGGATAGCCTGTGAACGATAGTGTACATATTCTAGATGTGACCAGCCAATATAAAATGGCTATCCTTACACCCTCAATCAAAGCAGGATGCCCTGTGAACGATAGTGTACGTATTCAAGATGTGACCAGGCAATATCACATGCCTATCCCAACACCCACAATCAAAGCAGGATAGCCTGTGAACGATAGTGTACATATTCTAGATGTGACCAGCCAATATAAAATGGCTATCCTTACACCCTCAATCAAAGCAGGATGCCCTGTGAACGATAGTGTACATATTCTTAATGTGACCAGGCAATATCACACGGCTATCCTAACACCCTCAATTAAAGCAGGATAGCCTGTGAACGATAGTGTACATATTCTAGCTGTGACCAGGCAATATAAAATGGCTATCCTTAAACCCTCAATCAAAGCAGGATGCCCTGTGAACGATAGTGTACATATTCTAGATGTGACCAGCCAATATAAAATGGCTATCCTAACACCCTCAATCAAAGCAGGATAGCCTGTGAACGATAGTGTACATATTCTAGATGTGACCAGCCAATATAAAATGGCTATCCTAACACCCTCAATCAAAGCAGGATAGCCTGTGAACGATAGTGTACATATTCTAGATGTGACCAGCCAATATAAAATGGCTATCCTAACACCCTCAATCAAAGCAGGATAGCCTGTGAACGATAGTGTACATATTCTAGATGTGACCAGCCAATATAAAATGGCTATCCTAACACCCTCAATCAAAGCAGGATAGCCTGTGAACGATAGTGTACGTATTCTAGATGTGACCAGGCAATATAAAATGGCTATCCTAACACCCTCAATCAAAGCAGGATGCCCTGTGAACGATAGTGTACGTATTCAAGATGTGACCAGCCAATATCACATGGCTATCCCAACACCCACAATCAAAGCAGGATAGCCTGTGAACGATAGTGTACATATTCTAGATGTGACCAGGCAATATCACATGGCTATCCTTACACCCTCAATAAAAGCAGGATAGCCTGTGAACGATAGTGTACATATTCTAGATGTGACCAGCCAATATAAAATGGCTATCCTTACACCCTCAATCAAAGCAGGATGCCCTGTGAACGATAGTGTACGTATTCAAGATGTGACCAGGCAATATCACATGCCTATCCCAACACCCACAATCAAAGCAGGATAGCCTGTGAACGATAGTGTACATATTCTAGATGTGACCAGCCAATATAAAATGGCTATCCTTACACCCTCAATCAAAGCAGGATGCCCTGTGAACGATAGTGTACATATTCTTAATGTGACCAGGCAATATCACATGGCTATCCTAACACCCTCAATCAAAGCAGGATAGCCTGTGAACGATAGTGTACGTATTCAAGATGTGACCAGGCAATATCACATGGCTATCCTAACACCCTCAATCAAAGCAGGATAGCCTGTGAACGATAGTGTACATATTCTAGATGTGACCAGGCAATATCACATGGCTATCCTAACACCCTCAATCAAAGCAGGATGCCCTGTGAACGATAGTGTACATATTCTTAATGTGACCAGGCAATATCACACGGCTATCCTAACACCCTCAATTAAAGCAGGATAGCCTGTGAACGATAGTGTACATATTCTAGCTGTGACCAGGCAATATAAAATGGCTATCCTTACACCCTCAATCAAAGCAGGATGCCCTGTGAACGATAGTGTACATATTCTTAATGTGACCAGGCAATATCACATGGCTATCCTAACACCCTCAATCAAAGCAGGATAGCCTGTGAACGATAGTGTACGTATTCAAGATGTGACCAGGCAATATCACATGGATATCCCAACACCCTCGATCAAAGCAGGATAGCCAGTGAATGATAGTGCATGTATTCAAGAATACTAAATCAGGTGTGTACATGCACATCCCACTGGTCATCATCCCAGGTGTTCTCTACCCTCAGTAGCCATCTTGACCATCTAATCCCCATCCCACCCCTGTTTGATAAACAAGGACATACGGACATCTATGCCTGCACCCACTCCCTTCTGTAGCCTGTCATTTCACATGGTAACCATGGTAACAATTGGACCAATCATCTTCAAGTGTCAGCAGTGTTCAAAATCAAAGTTAGTCCAGAGGTCCTCCTGATGTAACAAATAAAATAAGGGACCCAGAAGATTTTTGAACATCGGTCGTATAAACATCAGCAAAATGTGTCATTAAAGTAAAATAATCTTTTATTAGATTTATTTTCATCAGTGTATTACAGTTGATGGAGTGATTTTATACAGAATGCCAGTGGCTGGTAAGTCTGTAGTTCTCTGTGACAGGTTTGATGTCTGGAGGCTGACTCGACGCCGGTCCATCTGGGACAGACAGGTATGGGTGAGGTTGCATGTTGGGCAGTGAGGGAGCATATTGAGAATTGACCCCATAACTGGCATACATGGATGGCAGACAGTTCTGTGCTGGGTCGCCTATGTCCTGTCTCACACCCGCTAGAGATGGTGCAGACACTGGGGTAGTGGACATGTGATGTCCCTCTCTTGGGTATATTTCCCTTGGAAACGGAGACACAGCAGGCATGTCTCCAGAATTATTTGAATTTCCAGTTTTTCTCAATCTAAGCACTTTCTTCCTTTCCCTATCTTTAATTCTCCGGTCTTCATTGTAATTTGGGAACACTGTCCTTATTTCAGCTTCCTTAGCACGTTGCTGTCTCTTGCGTTCCATGTCCCGGGCTTTAATCTGTTCGTACTTGTGTTTCATTGCCGGGTCGTTCCTCAGCTTCTCGCGCCTCCTCCTGGCTTGTTCGTTGGCCTTCTCTCGTGCCTGCTTGGCTGAATACACCATCTGCTGCAACCTCTCCTGCATCACCTCCGGCCCGGCCAGAGCTGTGACTTGTTCCAGGGAGCTTCTTAAAGTCACCTCCGCAATACCCGACAGGTGGTCATTCATGGGTACCGAGGATCGAGGAGAGGCGACAGGCACCTTCGGAGCATCAGGCAACAGATTTGTAGGAAAGCCTGCCAGGCTACTGCTGTAGAAGTTGAAGGATGCCACGGAAGGAGAGTCGAAAGGTGTGCTGCTGGTGTTACAGATTCCTCGGGGACCTGATGGTGCTGGAGGGTTTACTTCAGCTTGAGGATCTGTGTCTGCAACCCGAGTCTGAAGTCGGCACAGCTGAGTCTGGAACCAGTCTCGTTCCTCCTCAACACTGGAGAATGAAGGGATACCAGACCCACTGGTACTGAAAAAGAGCAAAGCTTGCAGTTAATGTGTATTCGGGAACAAAGCAATAGGCAGACTTAACAACAAATCATATGTAGCCAGCAGGGCTTGCTCCTAGAACTTATTGGCCCCTCTCCAATGTTACTGACCCACTGCTAAAAGATCAAGGCTACAAAATGACCGAACACGAGGTTATGTAGCAACTGACATGCCCTTGAGATATATCTTTCACTGCATTAACCATTCACACGACCTCACCCCCCTAAATATTTTGAATTTACACAATTTGGCAGTTGTGTCCAATTAAAAAACTTAAATATACATGAAGAAGGGTTGAAATCTTGACTAGCCAGATAGGCTTTCTACTTTACGTTTCAGCAAGCCCTTTGTAATGTTAACTGGCCATGGGCCAATGGGCCAGGGGTTAACACGACCCTTGAGAGGCTTTTACAATGTTTCTTCATGAGTGTATGGGTCAGCAATATTCCAGCCTGGTAATAAACATGTCAGGACCAGACAAACCAGTTTTTAATATAACATGTTCAATGAGCAGCCGCCAATGTTGTCAGGAATGATGACATTTAATTAACCAGGTCGCCAGTTTAGTCGCCTCTTACGACAAGCAATAGAGCATTAGGTGCCAACTCTAACCTGTGGTCCCACAGGGTCACACAGCCATGTACATGCACATATATTTTGTTATGAATATCCGATGATTGGGGCGGCGGGGTCGCCTAATGGTTAAAGTGTACCAGGTTTGATTCCCGACAAGGGTACAATGGGAAGTCCATTTCTGGTGTCCCCAACCCTGATATTGTTTGAATATCGCTAAAAGCAGTGTAAAACCATACTCAGTTCACTCACACAGATGATTATTTGAATGAAGCAGTGTTACCATGAATACACCTTATTTCATTTTTCTGTTATGAAGAAATATCTTCAGATTAAACATGATGGTAAATGTTCAGATGTACTAGCCATGCAGGACAGTCAGTTTATCATACTGGAAATTGTGCATGTCATAATTATGGTAATCCAAGACAGCCAAAATCACCATCAAAAACAAACATGACAAATATAAGAAATCTTTCATCATAAAAAAATCCATAGGTGCATAGAAACCTCTCAAACCGCATACCGTATTTGATGTTATAAGTGCCCACAGCAATATTTGCTAATATATTGGCTAGTGAACAATCCCAATTAGCACCCCTTCCGATGGATCAATGTACACAAGACTTATTTATTCGTCTATATTACGCACTCATGTGTTATATGCACCCTTAATTATGGGCAATTAAATTCTGGAAAAATATATGTCATATATAAACATTTCAGGCTGTCAGCATAAACCACGAAATTTACGATGTTTCAACTCTGTTTTTTTCACCAAAATAATATTCTAATAAGAGCCCCCTATTTCTAATTTTTAGAGCACCCTAGGCACTTATTACGGCGAATACGTATGCCTGTATCAGCTCTTAACATGCAGGGTTAGAAACTAACAGTTTTTGTCCACTAGTCCTTATATTGATAACATGTAGCAAAACCCTTAAAATGGGCCAATTTCTACTCGTCCTAAGGATACCTTTACTATTGGGCAGTTTGGTAAGGACTACAGGACTAGTGCCAATTTCTAACGCTGACATGGATAACAAATCACCTTTGAAACACAAATAATAACATCTTACCTCAAATCAGCTCTCTCACTAGAAGCTGGTCCCATCTGATGCTCCTCTGTCTTGATGCAGTCTTGCTGTGCAATGCCGCCATCTTGCTTCACACGGCTACCATCAGGCTCCACATTGGCGCCATCAGTGTTGAAACAATGGTCAGGCCTCACACAATCTTCAGCTGTCTCAGATGAATGTGCAACGTCAGAGGAAAGAGGGCACTGATCAGTCTTAACAGGGGTGCAACTTTTGCGCTGTTGAGATCTTTGAAACACCATGTTAAGCTCTCTTGGAGAAGCTGTGTGGTTGATGACATTGTTGGTCCCACGAGTGTCTTTGGAAAGAGTTGCATCAATTTCATCCTCTTTCAGATTAATTCCATCCCCAAGAGAACTGAGGACACCTCCATCAATAGATTCCCATGCTTCTCCATGGCCTTTCATAGTTTCCATCCCATCAGAACCACTCCTTCGTACTCCCCATCCACCTGAGCATAATCTTGTAGTTTGATTAATCTCCGAGCTTAAATCTGGCTCCCTTTTAACAAGTCTTTCATCATAAAGTACACCAGGATCAACAACATTATCACAGTCATCAGAGCCCTTATTACAAGACTGTACATTATCACATCCAGATGCTAGAGGCTTCTCACATACAACCCCCTGCACACCGTCATCTGCTTGCGAAGCACCAACCTCATCCCTCACATCACCAGCATGGAGGTTTTCCCCATCAACATACCCCTCCTTCATCATACTGACATCTTCAGGTGGTTGTAAGTTCAGGGAATGTTGAGGCAACTGACTGCCTGATCTGTGCTGTACAGCAGGGCTGTAGTCCGCCCACACATCTGAAGGCTCCTGTTTGACAGTCAGCCTATCAGAGCTGCCATCTTGTCCTGCCGAGTGCTCGGACTGGCATCCTTCATTGTCTCCGTAGTTTGAAAGCGTTGCTGTGGATGATGGTGTAGACTGTGGGACATCATAACTAAAAGTTAAGGGTTCGTTCACACCAGGAAGTAACCTAAACTCTCTCTTTTTTAACCTTTCATGTTTTTTTCGTATCCGTTCTCTTTCTTTCATTGCTTCAAAAGCTTCTGGGTTCTCCTTTATTCTGGCTCTTTTCTGACGCATTCTCTCTTTGTTGTATTCCTTTTTGTGTTCGGCATTTTTCTTCAATTTCTCTATGTTTGATATCCAACTCACATTGCCAGCATCAGAAGAAACAGAATCTTGTAAAGAGGAGTTGAAAGAGCTATCTGATGATGTGGGCGAAGTCTGATCTGCAGACAGCCTGGACTGAAGGTCCATCTCTGATGTTTCCTTCAACACATGAGCAGAGTCTGATTCCAAGGCATGCTGGGAAGATTGTGGAATATCTAATCCATGGTTCAATCCAGGGTGTAATCTGTCCATGCAGCCATTCTCGGTCTGCCCCATCATGGAGTGGGTTGCCTGAAGGAGAGCATTAGGTGACAGATTTAGCAAAAGATTGTTCCTCCTTCTCTCTATTCTCTTCCTGATCCGCTCCTTCTCTCTTAGTGCAGCAGCTAGGTCAGGATGTTTCTCCCGTAGCTCAGCCCTCCTCTGGCGGACTCTCTCTTTCTGCTCCTGCCGCTTTCGCATCAGGTTTTCTCTCAGAACCAACAAAGCTGAAGAGAACTCTGGTGCCAGTGGCAAAGGCAAAACAGGAGGAGGTTCTCTAGCTTCCTCTTTAGCTTCCTGGGAAGGGTTAAGAAGACTCTCGTCTGGCAATGACAGCAACATGGCATTCCTCCTCCTTTCAATTCTCTTGCGTATTTTCTCCCTTTCTCTATAAGCAGCTGCAGCAGCTGGGTCACACTCTCTCAGACGTGCTCGCTTCTCTCGCATCCTCTCTCTGCATGCCTTCTTCATGCCCTCTCTCATATTCTCATCCAGTTGAGCACGTTTCATTCGCGTCCTCTCTCTGTCCACTGCCCTCTTTCCCTCGATCTTGAGCTTCAGCTCACCGATGGTGTGGAAGTTTTCCCGGCCAATCTGAAGCGAGGTGATGTCCTCTTCTGGAACTCCAGCTGCCCTTTGTTGCTCCATCAACATCTTGTTGGCATCATGAATGGACATACCAGGGTCTACGGGCAGGGACAAAATGAGCGAATCTCTCCGCCGTATCATCATTTGTCGCAAACGTTCCTTCTCTCTTTGTGCTGACAATAGAGAAGGATCACTTCTGATCAGAGCCCTCCGTTCTCTCTGGTTTAGTTTCTGGATTCGTCTCCGAGCATCAGCAGTTCTCCCTCTCTTTCCCCTTCCCCTGCCCTTAGATGGCATTTCAGATATGTCATCATCATTCAATTCAGCCTGAAGCCACAGAGGAAGAGACTCCCCCTCTTCTTCGTCAACATCCTCCTCCTCATCCTCAGAAGAGTCTTCAGAGGAGTCTCTTTCATCAAATCTCTCATTGTTCAGATCACTCTTTTTGTTCACTTCACTGTAAAAGTCCCTCAAACTGTCATCATCTGACAAGAGTCTTTGTGAGGAACTTTCTGATTGGCTGACAGTTTCACAGCACATAGAAGAAGGGTTTTGACTGGTGCTCTGGGCAAGGGGTTGGGTGGACTTGTCCACATGTGGGGACAACCTGGAATGGGAAACAAGGCAATAAGCTCACTTATCTCACTTTGCACTGCATCATTTATTCCATGCAATATTTCAGTGGTTGTTCTACCATCTCACACTGATAATCTACATACATACTGAACCAAAAAAGTCATGGATCATGAATATTTATAGGGATTTCTTTTTAATGAAGACAGCACATAATTTCATAAAAATATCCCAAAAATATTCATGATCCCTAATTGTTTTTGTTCAGTATATATTTATAGAACTAAAATATGTTGCTTCTTTTACAGAAACTGATTATCACTCTACATGCAATCTTGCAAGTGGCAGTTTATGAATAAAGCAGGAATTATAAGAACTTATTGCACTTGTTTCCCATTACCTGCTTATACCATAGCTACATGGTGTATATACATGACATACGTCATATCGTCTTCATGATCCTGCAGCTTACAAACCTATATCACATGTTATACAGCATTAAGTAATAAGCAAATACCAGAGTTGTATTAAAATACAGTTCGGATTTTATCATGTTTTATTAATTGAAATGTTTTGGGTGGAAGCTTAAACGGGTTCTGTAAAAGTCCACAAACTGACCCATTGTAGGTCTATGTGTATTGATGGAGGAGGTCTTGTATTGGTGGAGGAGGGTAGTGTATTTATGGAGAGCGGCGTGTATTGATGAAAGAATGTCGTATCTACAAACCATATGAAGTATTGACAATGTTCAACTACTGATAGGCACATGGCCTACCTGTAGCAAGACAGATATATCATGTTTAGTGGATACATGACAAAAAGCAAGACATATCAGCACTTCGATGTGAGGACATGGGTGTGAGGACTTGGTCATGTGACTCACCTGTCCTCCAGCTTGATCTGGACCGGCAGCTGAGATTCCAGCTCTCCCGTTTCCACAAGTTCCTTCACAATGTCAAGGCCACCCAGAAGCTCCCCATTGGCATAAAGCTGGGGATATGTGGGCCAGTTGGAGAACGCCTTCAGGCCTGGAGAACACATGATATACAATGTACAACAGCATCTCTGCACACAAGTCAAGCCCTGGGCCTAAGTATTGTCCATAATTATTGAGTCATATTTTGTCTAACTTAACAGCTGGGCTTCAAACAATACCCAAGGATGTTCAAATACACATGACACAGAAAGTCCAAACTTTAATGGAACAATTTATGCATCAAATGTAGAAGAATGTATCTGCACCCTTTGTTCTGTTGGACATGTTCGAAACACCTCAAAACATGGCAAAGGAACCCACACCCTAAAAGGGCAAAGCTAACCTAACGAGGCAAAGGAACATGTTCACTGCAGATTTCCACTTATGACACAAGGTTTTTTGGAAGCTTGAGTATATCCCTGGCCATAAAGAAATCTTTTTATTCCTAAACCTCGTACAAAAAATGTCCAATTTCTAACCCACGGGGAGACAAGCATGGGGTACTGGGGTCTGTTCTATATGGGAAACCCACAGGGAGACAAGCATAGATTAATGGGGTCTGTTCTGCATGGGAAACCCACAGGGAGATAGGCATGGGGTACTGAAGTCTATACTACATGGGGAGATATGCATGGAGTACTGGAAGTCTGTTCTACATGGGAAACCCATGGGGAGACAATCATGGGGTACAAGAGTTTGTTCAGCCTGGGAAACCCATATTGAGACAAGCCTGGGGTACTGGAGTCTGTTCTAAATGGGAAACCCATATGGAGACAAGCGTGGGGTACCAGAATCTGTTCTACATGGGAAACCCATGGGGAGACAAGCATGGGGTACTGGAGTCTGTTCTACATGGGAAACCCATGGGGAGACAAGCATGGGGTACTGGAGTCTGTTCTACATGGGAAACCCATAGGGAGACAAGCATGGGGTACTGGAGTCTGTTCTACATGGGAAACCCATGGGGAGACAAGCATGGGGTACTGGAGTCTGTTCTATATGGGAAACCCATGGGGACACAAGCATGGGGCACTGGAGTCTGTTCTATATGGGAAACCCATAGGGAGACAAGCATGGGGCACTGGAGTCTGTACTACATAGGAAACCCATGGGGAGACAAGCATGGGGTACTGGAGTCTGTTCTATATGGGAAACCCATGGGGAGACAAGCATGGGGTACTGGAGTCTGTACTACATAGGAAACCCATGGGGACACAAGCATGGGGTACTGGAGTCTGTTCTATATGGGAAACCCATGGGGAGACAAGCATGGGGTACTGGAGTCTGTACTACATAGGAAACCCATGGGGAGAAAATCATGGGGTACTGGAGTCTGTACTACATAGGAAACCCATAGGGAGACAAGCATGGGGTACTGGAGTCTGTTCTACATGGAAAACCCATAGGGAGACAAGCATGGGGCACTGGAGTCTGTTCTACATGGGAAACCCATGGGGAGACAAGCATGGGGTACTGGAGTCTGTTCTACATAGGAAACCCATAGGGAGACAAGCATGGGGTACTGGAGTCTGTTCTACATGGAAAACCCATAGGGAGACAAGCATGGGGCACTGGAGTCTGTTCAGCCTGGGAAACCCATGGGGAGACAAGCATGGGGCACTGGAGTCTGTACTACATAGGAAACCCATGGGGGGACAAGCATTGGGTACTGGAGTCTGTTCTATATGGGAAACCCATGGGGAGACAAGCATGGGGCACTGGAGTCTGTTCTATATGGGAAACCCATGGGGAGACAAGCATAGGGGACTGGAGTCTGTACTACATAGGAAACCCATGGGGAGACAAGCATGGGGTACTGGAGTCTGTTCTATATGGGAAACCCATGGGGAGACAAGCATAGGGGACTGGAGTCTGTACTACATAGGAAACCCATGGGGAGACAAGCATGGGGTACTGGAGTCTGTTCTATATGGGAAACCCATGGGGAGACAAGCATAGGGGACTGGAGTCTGTACTACATAGGAAACCCATGGGGAGACAAGCATGGGGCACTGGAGTCTGTACTACATAGGAAACCCATGGGGAGACAAGCATGGGGCACTGGAGTCTGTACTATATAGGACACCCATGGGGAGACAAGCATGGGGCACTGGAGTCTGTACTACATAGGAAACCCATGGGGAGACAAGCATGGGGCACTGGAGTCTGTACTACATAGGAAACCCATGGGGAGACAAGCATGGGGCACTGGAGTCTGTACTACATAGGAAACCCATGGGGGGACAAGCATGGGGCACTGGAGTCTGTACTACATAGGAAACCCATGGGGAGACAAGCATGGGGTACTGGAGTCTGTTCTATATGGGAAACCCATGGGGAGACAAGCATGGGGCACTGGAGTCTGTACTACATAGGAAACCCATGGGGAGACAAGCATGGGGTACTGGAGTCTGTACTACATAGGAAACCCATGGGGAGACAAGCATGGGGTACTGGAGTCTGTTCTATATGGGAAACCCATGGGGAGACAAGCTTAGGGGACTGGAGTCTGTTCTACATAGGAAACCCATGGGGAGACAAGCATGGGGTACTGGGGACCAATTCTGCCTAAGAATCCCTAAACACAAAACATACCTATTTGTAGTTTTATTGCAGTTGTTTAATGCACCCCTCAGCAATATTTCAGCTATATAGTGGCATCCTGTAGATCATAGAGTCTGGATGCTCTGGACCAGACAATCCAGTGACCAATTATTTGCGCAATGATCCATGTCTTCAGGGTGCAATGACCACCTGACCCATCAGCCACCAAACCCAGTTAGTTGCCTCTCACCACCAGGATAGACTGCTGCAGCAACACGAAAACAAAACACACATACCTTGTCTAACTTCTTCATCTGACAGAATATCGAAGGTGCTGTAACTAACATTCTTCTCCTGTAATATGCTGACGATCTGTCGACTGAACCCTGGAAGACAAGGAAGTTAGCATCAAACACTGCAGACAACAACACCGGCATACTGTCAACATAACACAGGCATTGTCTGGGGTAGACTGCAGTATTTGGGTCCCAAAACCGCCGAAGTGGGGACCACAATACTGCAGTTGACCCATTATCTGCATCAAACACTGCAGACAACAACACCGGCATACTGTCAACATAACACAGGCATGGTCTGGGGTAGACTGCAGTATTTGGGTCCCCAAACCGCCGAAGTGGGGACCACAATACTGCAGTTGACCCATTATCTGCATCAAACACTGCAGACAACAACACCGGCATACTGTCAACATAACACAGGCATTGTCTTGGGTAGACTGCAGTAATTCGGTCCCCAAACCGCCTAAGTGGGGACCACAATACTGCAATTGACCCATTATCTGCATCAAACACTGCAGACAACAACACTGGCATACTTTCAACATAACACAGGCATGGTCTGGGGTAGACTGCAGTATTTCGGTCCCCAAACCGCCTAAGTGGGGACCACAATACTGCAATTGACCCATTATCTGCATCAAACACTGCAGACAACAACACCGGCATACTGTCAACATAACACAGGCATGGTCTGGGGTAGACTGCAGTATTTCGGTCCCCAAACCGCCTAAGTGGGGACCACAATATTGCAATTGACCCATTATCTGCATCAAACACTGCAGACAACAACACCACCAGCAAAAGGTCCACCATACTGTCAACATCACACAAGCATGGTCTGGGGTAGACTGCAGTATTTCGGTCCCCAAACCGCCTAAGTGGGGACCACAATACTGCAATTGACCCATTATCTGCATCAAACACTGCAGACAACAACACCGGCATACTGTCAACATAACACAGGCATGGTCTGGGGTAGACTGCAGTATTTCGGTCCCCAAACCGCCTAAGTGGGGACCACAATACTGCAATTGACCCATTATCTGCATCAAACACTGCAGACAACAACACCGGCATACTGTCAACATAACACAGGCATGGTCTGGGGTAGACTGCAGTATTTCGGTCCCCAAACCGCCTAAGTGGGGACCACAATATTGCAATTGACCCATTATCTGCATCAAACACTGCAGACAACAACACCACCAGCAAAAGGTCCACCATACTGTCAACATCACACAAGCGTTATCTGCTTTCAAGAACTGCCCATAGTGAAACGCGCAACATGGAAACATAATCTTGTTGCAGTTCATGATGTTATGGACTAGTGTGAATTTCAATCTCATTAAAATCAGACCTTAGTCCTCGCTACCTCTAAACAAAGATCTGAAGACATCCCATTAGGGGTCACGTCAGAACGACCTTTCATCCGACCAATCAGAGCGTCGCCTACCGGATCATGAAAGTGACAGTCGGGTTGTGATTTCTAATCATAGAGCCTCGAAAACTTAAACACAGGGTATTCCAAACAATAGTTACAGGTTTAACGACTGAATCCATACAATCTAGACCATCTATTAGCCATTCAAGAATGTTCTTTCGTTTAGGTTTCAAATTTGTAATCGAGAATTTGTCAAGATATGTTACGAAGCCTAGTCGCCAATTTGAAATTAGTGCCGTAAAGCACGAGAAAGATGCTTCTGATTGGTTGGTCAAAGTTCGTGCAAGATCGGTCTGACGTGACCCGTAATTGGATGTCCTCAGATCTTTGTTTAACGGGAGCAAGAACTAAGACCTCATTTTAATGAGATTGGTGTGAATTTCAAAGGTAGTGTTAACTCTAGTGTCCTTGGGACCATCAAACAAAGGTAATAGTTTGAGGATAGGATTTGTCTTGTGACCTACCACATCGTGGTTCCTGGCGATTTCCTTTCATAAACAACATGACGGGGGCGGAGTTGATCAGCTGCTTTAAACGTGTGTTCAGATCCTGTAGAGAATAACAATTTGTATTCATCATGCATGGCTCTATTAAATAAAGTTTGTTTGTTTTGTTTGTTGTTTAACCCAGCTCTCAGCAATATTTCAGCTACACGATGGCGGTCTGTAAATATCAAGTCTGGACCAGACCATCCAGTGATTGACAGCATGAGCATCGATCAACGCAATTGGAATACGATGACATGCATCAACCGAGTCAGCAAGCCTGACCATCTGATCCCGTTAGTCGCGTCTCTCAACAAGCATAGTCGCCTTATACAGTAAGCATGGGCCGCTGAAGACCTATTCTACCCCGTATCTTCACGGGTCCTCTATTCACATCCCTGAACATTCACGTACACACTCAAAACTTTCGTCAAGACAAAAACCATTGTACAGCAAGCCAATGACATCGTCACAGTTCTACACCCCCACCTGTTTCTGTGGCTGTGGAGGAGGGGAAGCAGCAACAGCGCCACCCTTGGATAAACTCTGGACTTTCTTTGTTAGATCTGTAGCATTGGCGCCATCTAATCTATCAACTGACTTGCCACCCTGCAAAACAAAAAGTGAGAGAATTAGGCTTCATGCCAGTGTTAAAACTGAAGAGAAAAGTTGTGTTTAACCCTTTTGGGAAAGCCACGAGCATAGTATGGAGCTGATAGACCAGGATTATCACTGCAGCAATTCAGGATGCTAGCATAGCCAAAGGGAGGCAGCTCTGCAACATGAGCTGCAATGCACAGGACCACTTGGTCACTATTTCCGCCAAGATCGAGGTTGTGTTTTACAGGAACATGTGAATGCTGGTTACCACCATGTATCACTGTAGTCAGAACTATTTCAACAATATCACCACATCCTCTAAATAATCGAGTCCAAAACAAACAAATCAGTGGCTAAATGGATGATTAGCGCACAGAACCGGATTATCTGGTCACCTGGCCCCTGTTCCACAAAGCGATCTTAGTGCTAAGATGATCGTAACTCCCATACTTTAACATACACTCACAGCAGTCGAAGCGCTAAGATCGCTTTGTGGAACGGGCCGTGGACTTGTCTCTCACAACAAGCATGTGTTATTGTACTGTCAATCTGGAACTCGTTTATCCACGGACTACTCACTAGGCTGACCCAGGTGAGGACTGAGTAGCAACTCCTAACCATGTCATCAATGAACATCAATAACCAAAGGGAGGCAACTCTGCAACATGAGCTGTAGTGCACACGACCTCTTGGTCACTATTTCCGCCAAGATCGAGGTTGTGTCTTACAGGAACATGTGAATGCTGGTTACAATTTCAGTTTCAACTATATCACCACATCCTCTAAACAATTGAGTCAAAACCAAACAAATCATGCTATCAGTCACAGAGCCGGATCATCAGGTCATCTTGACTTGTCTCTAAAAACAAGCATAACTTACTGTCCATCTGGAACTGATTTATCCACGGACTACCCACAAGGCTGGTCCAGGTGCAGACCGAGTATCAACTCCTAATACATGTAAATGAAAGTCAACATTTGAAGCCTACCTTGAAAAATATGAATGTTGGAACTGCAATGATGTTGTTCTTTTCAGAAATTTCAGCTAATTTCTCCGCCTCCAGCTGGAAGGAAACACCAACAAAGTTTAATTTCAACATCAATATTGATCCTCAATAATCAAAGATATATGAAACTGTCAGCTACAGATACTGAACAAAAAAGTTAGGGATCATGAATATTTTAGGTGATATTTTTATGAAATTGTGTCATCAGTCTTCACTACAAACATTATCAGTAGAGGACGTAACGTGTACGCGAGACGGCTCTCCCGTCTCGCGTACAAGTGACCACCTGAGAGGGGGTCACTCGTGACGGCCTGTCAGTGGACCATGGATTTCTGCATGTTGCACAAAAATGTCTCTACAAGCGTTATTTGTGAAAATAATAAAACAAAATTAAGTACAGTTATTGATCATTCTACTAGTTATCGAATGACATGAAAAAAAATGTCATAAGAAAAATAATAAACGGTCAAATTGGGAGAAAAATGTGCCAAAATCGAGCAAAATGTTCTGTTTTTGACAGTGATTATCCCCCAAAATATTCATGATCCCTCAATTTTTTGGTTCAGTTTTTATAACAAGAAATGTCTTCAATTGGACAAATTCTGCTCACTGAATTATCAACTACATCCTAAAAGCTGTATAGAAAAAAGGCATACATTTAGATCAGGTTGATACATTTCTCTGAAAAGCAGTTTCATTAGCATGATTATAAAGGTAGGGATGAGTCCTGTTAAAACTACTTTCATTATTACGACGTTCAGCTGCTGACTGAAACAATTTTAAATGCACATACAATAAAGTCTGTTGAAGGGAAATAACTGTTCATGAACAAACAGTATCTTTATTTAATTCCAAGTCCTTATTGTCAGTTGACACCCCAGCCCAACTAGAACACATTATATTCCCATCTTAATATGGACTATTTATATTGCGCATATTTCAACACCACTCAGGGACATGCTCTAAGCGCTATTATTACCCCGGTCACTGGATCAATGTGCACTTAAGAATTATTCTGAGTTCCCAGAGAAGTATACAACCCAAGCTGCCTGTTAGGCGCAAGGTTAACAACCCATTGCCACCTCATCCTACCGGGTACCCATTCACTGCTGGGTGAACAGAGGCACATTTTGAACAAAGTCACTTTCCCAAGGAGACACCACATGTGGTTCATGTGCTTCAGCGTGAGACAGGACGGAAACCCTAGAAACTCTCAGGAGCCAAGCGGACGAAATGCGTTCACCCATCCAAGGACTCTCAATGACCGATGTTGCTTAATTTAACTTAATTTGTAACCTGTGCACCATGTTTATTAGCAACCAAGGGTTAAAAAATGAAACCTGTACCTGCACTCTCACGTTATTGCTGCAGTATTAACTTACACACCTGCACAAACCTGACTTGACTCAGCTGGTTGTCCTTGGCCAGTTCCCCGATCACGTCTGTCATCTGCTGGCACTGTGGGGCCCAGGGAGCGGCGAAGTGCACCACCACCAGGTTGCTGACAAGTCAAAAACAGTTACCATGACTAAAACTTGTAAAACACGTAGTCAATTTCAGAATGTTTTTGTCAGATGTTTTTAGTAATATTCCAGCAATATCTTGAACATGTTGAATATGCCAGCAGTGAACACGAAGAACTTGCTTCATGTCAGGAATCGAACCTGGATCTTTGTCAAGACAAGCAAGCAAACTACTTGTTTATCTCTGCCTGTCTAAACTTGGCAATATTACATTCTAATCTTGTACAGGCTGTCACATCACTGAACATGTAGAGAGAACAGAGAAAACGCAGAGAAGACAAAAAAGTTAGAACTTAAAAATACATAACTTTTTCAGTCTTAGTGCTGCTGCTTTGAATAAAATTGCTTTGAACAATCTCTCTCTCTTGTTGGGTACATAATGTCTGATTTGGAATTGTTTAACCGGAGCCATGGCACTTACTATTTACATACACAAATAAAACGATTAATTCATGCAGACTTTGAGTGAAGTTATCCTTACTCAACAGCTGAAATTAGCACTGGATTGGTTAAATTGAAGATTCAGTTTAGTTCATAAGTTTTCTTATTTGACACCTACATACAATATTCAGAGTACAATGTAATCTGATATGTCTGAGGTAGGCCTTTATCTGCCCATTTCTTTAATTAAATTTGGAGTTTTGCAGAAATAGTGAACAAATGTAAACAATATGATGTAGGTAAACGAGGACTAATTATCCCATGCTCCTGTGGTCAAATGTAGCTTCACGTTGGCAGCACGACTATGACCCTCCACTACTCAATGTGGAGCATTAAAGTGCAGTAGTCCCTCATTACTGATCATTATAAAACTTTTGCCCCTTCACTATCTTAGTTTAAGATTTCTTCAATGCTTATTGACATGATCAGTGCTAGGGCAGGGATGAGTTCAAATTTATGGGCCAGGTACTCGACCCACTAATACCCAACCTATCCCAGGTACCCACTGTAGGTCTCAAGAGTTGGGTACATAATGTCCGATTGGGAATTGTTTTACTGGATCCATGGCAAATACAATTTAGAAAAACGTATAAAACGATCACTACATGCATACACTTAAGTTGACTGAAGTTATATCTTCACTCAAACACATAAAGTCTGAAACAATGTGTGCATAGTCAGAACAAAATGTAAGCGACTTTTATTGTTATTGTATTTAACAATACATCGCGTGACAAGCCAACGGTCTGGGTAGTTCTATGGGTACCCGGGTCCCACTCAGGACCCACGTACAGATCCGAGTATCCCAGTTACCTGTCCCAGACCAAGTCAGTGCAAGTATGATTGCTTATTGTAATGTCTTGTAATGTCTTGTAATTTAAAAAAAGTATGTCTTGTGAAGTGTACTGGTTATTAAATACCAGAGTGCAGTTTTACACCTCTGACGACAAGTGAAACTTGGAACGCAAGTTATATTCTCACGAATTGTCTTCAGGTACAACATGAACCATGTACAATAGCACACATATGAATCAGCAAAATTCGGTATATCAGTCTCATTATGCGGACATTCTGATCTCACAGATCGATAACAACCAAAACAAATAATGCACAGCAACGTCAAAAGTGGTCTACATGTCTCCTGCCTATTACTCCTGTGCAAGAATGAGCATAATAACACGATGTTACATTGCCCCACTGGTCCGAGTGGCTATTTGATTTATGCAACGAAATGCCCAGCCGACATAAAAAAGGCTTTACACATCACTAACATATTCTTCACAGCTCGATTTGCTTGCTTTAAACAGACATTAAGAGTTTAAAACTGCATTTATATTGATGAACACTCAAAACTATAATCACCCGCCGGCATCATTCAGCAATTTATTAAAATCTTCCACCGTATCAACTTCTTTCACACCGGCGGCCATGTTGAATATACACTTCCTGTGAGTCTACCAGAGTTGCTTCCCCTATACCCATTTCAGATCGAATCTATATAGTCTTAAACTCTTTTGTCTTTACCCGTTTCTTTTTCTCCCTAGGTGCAAATTTAGTTAAAATGAACATTACCTGAAACCAGCTTCTATACACTTGACTCATATATAACATTTTAATTCCATTTGATAAATCTTTTATTTATAACAAAAATAGTTTTGGGTAATAAAACGAAATATGTTCTATAAATGCATGTGAACAGGTGTCAGTATTATATTGTTGTCCTCGATTTTGTTGTACATTTCGATTTTGCAGAATAAGAGAGCTGCTTTTTCCATTCTCACAGCAATATGTTGATGTAACAAAAGACATTTCTGTTATATTGGAAGGAGCGTAATCATGTTTTCACCTCTTTGAAATACTGGTTCTGCTGAACGTTGCGAGTAACAGCCATTCAAACACAACTGTAAGTTAATATATATTGATTACTATGATTATGTTTCAGGCAGGTAATGGCGATATTAGGAAGGAAGTAATGGCACTATAAGGTTGAGTTGAGTTGAAATGGGGTTTAACGTCGCGTTCAATTCAAGATTATTGCACTTATATAGCGACGTGGATGCACGTGGGTGTGGCTGCTTGTACTATTCCGGACTGATGCCGATTTATAGTGCTAGCACACTGAGATACCATGCCGCAGTTTAACATGAATACAGGGTAACAACAAGTAACATCTTTTAACGTCTTTTGGGATCGAACTCCGGACCTTCCGCTCCCGACGGACGCTCTACCACTAGACCACAGAGGCGGTCGGCACTATAAGGAAGCAAATAGGATTAATGAGGTGAGGTGAGGTTAAATTTGAACTTCGTTTTAACGTCGCGTTCAAGATTATTGCATTTATATGTCGACGTAAGACTAAGTATAGTTAACTTTGAGTACCAGTCAGATTCTAATGCTGTAACGTATTTTGGTAAGACTCTGCCAGGGATCGAACCACCGACCTCCCCCATTCAGGGCGGACACTCTATCCATTAGACCACGGAGGTAGTTGGTTTCTTAACAGTTGATGCGATGACATGGAAACAGACTCCAGAAACAACCAGCAAGGTCATCGGACTTGTTTACATCCTCTTCTGTCGGCGCAGATTACCAAACTTGATAGTTTACATACCCCTAATATATTGTTGGAATTTCGCTTACTGTGGTGCAAAACAACATTCATTCATGAGTGAGAGATTGGCTTCCTGGGCAAGGAAACACAAGGTGGATAGTGATTGATAGTGTGAGCGAAGTGTTGATAATGTGGACGAAGTTGTTGAGGGTACAAACGACGTTGTTGATGGTGTGGGCGTCGTCGTTGATAGTGCAAACGAAGTGTTTCATAATGTGATCATCACCGTTGATAGTGTGGACGATATCGCTGATGGTGCAATTAAGCTACGTTGTTGGTAGTGTGATCGTCGTCGTTGAGCGTTGTTGTTGATAGTGTGAGCGTTGTTGTTGATAGTGTGAGTGTTGTTGTTGGTAGTGTGATCGTCGTCGTTGAGCGTTGTTGTTGATAGTGTGAGTGTTGGTGTTGACAGGGAAAGCGACGTCGTGTATAATGTGAGCGACGTTATTGACAGTGAAAGCGACGTCGAGGATACTGTGAGTGGTGTTGTTGATAGTGTAAGCGACGTCATGGATTGTGTGAGCGACGTTGTTGACAATGAAAGCGACGTCGTGAATTGTGTGAGCAACGTTGTTGACAGTGAAAGCAACGTCGTCGAGGATAGTGTGAGCGACGTTGTTGACAGTGAAAGCGACGTCGTGAATTGTGTGAGCAACGTTGTTGACAGTGAAAGCAACGTCGTCGAGGATAGTGTGAGCGACGTTGTTGACAGTGAAAGCGACGTCGTCGAGAATAGTGTTAGTGGTGTTGTTGATAGTGTAAGCCACGTCGTGTATAATGTGAGCGACGTTATTGACAGTGAAAGCGACGTCGAGAATAGTGTTAGTGGTGTTGTTGATAGTGTAAGAGACGTCGTGGATTGTGTGAGCGACGTTGTTGATAGTGTAAGCGACGTCATCGAGGATAGTGTGAGTGATGTTGTTGATAGTGTAAGCGACGTCGTGGATAGTGTGAGTGGTGTTGTTGATAGTGTAAGTGATGTCGTGGATACTGTGAGTGGTGTTGTTGATATTGTAAGCGACGTCGTGGATAGTGTGAGTGGTGTTGTTGACAGTGTAAGCGACGTCGTGGATAGTGTGAGTGGTGTTGTTGATAGTGAAAGCGATGTGCGCCACTTGAGCCTCCGCCGCCATGCCCTCATATCACCAGCACATGCGGCTTTGACCGACTTTACCAACCAACGTTTCCGGAATGGCAGCGAGATAATCACAATCAAGATGACAAGACTAAAGTTCTTAAAATATTTTAATCCCCAAACCTTTTGACAAGTATACATTGCACACATACAAAAGTAACAAAATTAAAATGAATTGTGTATGACAAAATTCATCGCACTTGTTGCACCAGTTTGATGAGGGTGAAGGTATATAAAACACAACTGAAATAAACATAAAGCGCCGGGCAGAAGAAAGTAAACACCAATGTTTGATGGTGTAAAAAAATGAAAAAAAAGAACTGGTTATTCGATGCTGAGGGGCGGTCGGGTAGCCTAGTGGTTAAAGCGTTCGCTCGTCACGCCGTACACCCGGGTTCGATTCCCGACATGGGTACAATGTGTGAAGCCCATTTCTGGTGTCCCCCGCCGAGATATTGCTGGAATAATGCTAATAGCGGCGTAAAACCATACTCATTCACTATTCGATGTTGATGTATTTAACACGGGTATCACAGTTGTGTTTTGGACCTAAAGTTTGAAGTGTTTCGGAGACTCTTTCCAGCCTTATAATATTTTGATAACGTTTGCAATGTTTTGGTCAAATCCGATTTTCAAGTGTATACTTTCTTTTCCTCGGCAGCTTATATGATGGTCACGCCACATAAATTGTATTAACGGCGAAACAAATAACCTGCGATATAGGGAATAGATCACGGTACTGAAAATATACATAACATCTTTAAAAGGATCTTTGTTCATATAAGTCGATAAAGGAGTTGGGTTCAACGCCGATTTAGTCTGTATCGGTGATATCAGGATGAGCACGAGTAAGGTCCTGACAAATCAAGAATCATAATTAGGGCGAACATGAGATTCGAACCAACGATCATCGGATTCTGGCATAACTAAGGGGCGCAACTCTAGTTTATATTTACGGCAGTTTAGACGACTGAACCACCCCTGCCCTGTTTAGTTGAATATACGATAGGACATATACGAACGTTTTTAAGTTTTATGTCTATTATGGACATGGCCTTATCTCAGACCCTACTGGTTACCGTTGCAATGTCTGTGTTTGTGTATCATGGAAAGAAAATTCCATGACGTTTTCCGGACATTGTTAACCTGTGATTATCTGAGACATTCAAGCATATAAGAATTCTAAAATATAACAGTATATTTTCAGGCTGTTTAAACATCACGGGACTACAAAGTAGAATATATAATGTAAAAAAGCAACGCAATATCTTGTTCCATTGAAAAAAAATATACAAAACAAAAGGGCAGTCTACCGTACACCACTTTTTGAATGTTCCTCTTTCCTATTACAGTATTATACACAATAAAGCAGTTTACTGTCACAGCCATGAATAACCAACGAATCTTCTAGAGGTTTAAAAGAGTTGGGTTCAACGACGCTTTGAACAGTGTTTCAGTTATCGTGTAATTTAAATGCGGGATGAATGCTCCAATTCTTTTAGGACATCGTGTGTGTGTGTGTGTGTGTGGGGGGGGGGGGGGGGGGGGGGGGGGGGAGCTCTGGGCTTCTGAAACGGGTAACTCTATACAGATGTATCTACTGGGCCTCTTACACTCCAACAGTGCAGGGAATTACCCAAGTACCAAGTACCACGATGCGCCACTGTATTGGTGTCAACGTCGTATACCCTCTTGGGTTTTAAGTCATTTCGAAACGCACTTTTCAAAGTCACTATTTTTTCTCACTTTATAACATTCTCATTGCCGTTTTATATTCCATCCTGACGTATCTAGTGTCATATACACTACCCCCTCAACAGGAGTGAAAAAAACACGCAATCTTGATTAAAAAACCAATCGTCCGTCTTTCAAACAGAAATTAAAATTCCATGCAAGACTTATAGCTTCGACTGATAAAATCACAAATGTATAACAAATAATGAATAATGCATCCGTGATATAATCAACTTAACAAGCAATAAACATCTTGAATCTCTTAAATAATAAACCTAACAGATAAATCAACATTATGTTTTTTCAAAACAAGATGCACCTTATTTGATTGATGAGCGCCATGGGTATCCATGAAGAATACAATACTAGATAACGGTACATAAATCTATTTCAGACACCTATCTTCTTTATCCACCCCAAGCAGCTTCAGAACCTATGTTTGTCGGGCGTGTCACCCTTGTCATCAAGTCTAGTAAGTCAGGAATTATGCCATCTTAAATAGACCAACGTCATCGCGAGGACACTATGGTAATACTGCAATAGTACAAAATAGCGTCTTAACTAACTAATTGCAGTTGTTAAAACCATTGCAGTGTATTTTTAAATATTACCAAATAGTCAGTTAATGTTAATTTATTCTAATCAATTCTAATTAATCCCTATTGATAATACTGGATGTATTTGTGTCTTCGATCACAGAGTAAGATCTACTTCACGTGTACATCAGGGTGCCTCACGTGCTTTCCACGTGCAAGAAGCAGTTTAGAGGCGGTACTTGGACTGTAACATAAATTACTACAAATATCGTCCTTGATTGCACAAAGACACAAATGAATCTTAACCACTAGAAGGTAGCCTGCATAATTTACAGCTAACTCTGAGAATAGCTTGTTCTTTTTCATTAATCATAAATACGGATTATATAATATATACAAGATTGCACATCTTCATTCCATCGTTTTGGAATACTGAGAAAACGACCGCCGTATTTATACTCTGTAATGTCAATACTCGTTTATGGCTTCGTTCAGACGAAACAGACCAGCTGCGGGTTGTCTCCCCCTTGAATTCTGCCGTATCGTGCTGTACATGCGGTTAAATGTACTTTGATAATCAACGACCTCCCGTTTATCACGTGACACTTGAATGTCACGTCTGTACCGATCAGGCGGACGTGAACCGGAAGTATTTTGAATATATCTCCGCAGCATAAAAGAGTCCTCCCGACTCGGTGCATTTCCCATAGGACGGGAATGCCTATAAGACGCGTCTGGGTGTGTCTGGTTTTGAGATGGAGCGTCTTCCCCGTCGGAATAATCAGCTTGGAATTCATCCTCATCTTGATCACGTGAGTCTGGTATTACAATATCTGGTGCATTTGGTGCGTTCGAAGGGTTCTGGAGATAGGCAGCTTCCGCCACCGAATCTCGATCCTGTTGCTTTGATCTGATATTGGTGAAGGCGAGAACATGGAGGAAGGTTCCATATCGATGCTTAATCATCGCAAACACCTGCATTATGAGAAGAAGAGCAAAAATCCCCAAGAAGAGCATTCCCAGAGGCTGGACTGTGATCGGCGGCCCGTCCTCCTGGTGAATGACGATGTTGAGTTCTTGTTTCACTTCTTGAAGAGCTGTCATTATCACTAGCCAAAGCCCGTTCAGGAAGAAAAACGCAAAAGCCGAATTGTTCCTCAGTTCTAACATGTCGTCCTTGATTTTAGCTTCCAGCACGGGGTTCTTGTCGATCGGTTCAAGGTATTTAGGGATGAATTTTGTCCAAAATTCTTCCTCTTTCTTATCCAGAGTTGTCAGTTCACCGTCGATGTAGTGGTCAGTCAGGATCCAGTCTGATGTAGGATCAGCGTCGTTGGAAGCTACGGACATCGTTTCTGTAATTGTAATAATCTGATTGTTCCTTGAAATTCTTCTTTGGCGTGATATTTTTGGTTTGGTTTGTTCACTTGCTTCAATAGAGTTCGTGTTTCCTCTTTCCATCCGTGTTAGAGCCTCAAGGATGAACAGAAGCGTGGCGTTGACTGTCAGCTGACTGCGCATGCGTCGAAACAATGCTGTGAAGCAGCTACAACATCCATTGTCGTCGCCATCTTGTGTGATCTGGTTCCGGAGATGTTTTGCGGCTTCTCCCAGATACACCACAGCCTGGTCCCCAGTCGCATGCTTCACTGTGTGTTCTTCCTGCTGCTCGTTGATAGACTTCACTTCTCGGGTTCCCCACGAGATGACGTTGAGGTTGCAAATGCTGTATATGATAAGGAACAGGTAACCGGATGGAATACACAAGAAGTACACCACGCCCCAAACAAGATCCGAGAACTCGTGTGGATGCATGATACCAGGGAGGACAAACGAACCAATCAACACGTACATGAAGAATGCATTTGGAGTGAGCCATCCCTCTTGTACAACGTTGACAACAGTCCCCACCATCACTGCCATCATCACCAAGGCGAATAAAGTACTCAGGACAATAGCTATATTCAGCTGAGTGTCTGCCTTGAACCGGAGACAGGCGTAGGAAAATAGGATGTTGGGACCATAGCAACACAGGTAGGCAGCCCAGCTTGGCATCGTGAACACTGCTTCCACCGAGGACTCGATGGCGAGGAGAACGGTTGCTGGTCCCAGGATAGAAGAGGCGAAGAGCACCGCCTGGTAGAAAATGTACAGGTTGGAGATGTTCTTGTTCTTCATCACAGTTGTGCCTCGACTCTGCAGGAGGTCCAGGATGTTGGCCATTGTTGACGGCAGCCACCGGCGTCTCTGATTGAAGAACTCCTTGAATCCCTCTGGGGCAAACGTGAGGGCTTCACTGGCGGCACAGTACTCTACTCTGTAACCTTGCTGGAGCAACAGGGTGCACAGCCATCTGTCCTCACCTGGAACAAGAATGGGAGCGGTTGATATCTGGTAAATGTATATTCGGCAGAGATGAATGAGCTCCTATGGTTTACGCTGCTGTAAGAGAACCAAGAATGGGCTACACGCATTGCACCCATGCGAGGAACTAAACCTTAGGATACCCTCACCCAAAAGCAGATGAACCACTGAAAGTTAATGTATGATGACTAAGTGTTTTTCATAAACAAAACATAGAACAAAATATGTTCAATGGCAGAGTATTGTCTCATTGTCATCAAAGTCAGTCACACGCACAGAACACATCAAAACACAACATTGTGACATGTCAGGTTTTATAATATAATCTTGGCAAGAGGAAAAAATAACCTTACATAACAATGATAACATCCAGTTTCCTTTCGCGTTAATTCGTGAGGACAAATAATCATGAAAGATCATTTCTCTATAAATCTATATTTATTAATTATCCCATTACACATAACTCCAATGCGTCATGGGTAGCTATAAGCCTGCCTTCGTCTACTCACACACAGACGTTCCCCTAAAGACATGGGTAGGAATTAAATATTACAACCTTTATGATGAATTAAAAAGTTTGCTAGAACAAGAAAAGATAGATCTCCATGCAATTAGCGAATTAAAGCTTCGAACTATTTGAGTGAAGTTTAGAAGGGGACTATTACGTTTTAGAGTGTGAGTGAGTATGGTTTTACGCCGCTTTTAGCAATATTCCAGCAATATCACGGCGGGGGACACCAGAAATGGGCTTCACACATTGTACCCATGTCGGGAATCGAACCCGGGTCTTCGGCGTGACGAGCGAACGCTTTAACCACTAGGCTACCCGACCGCCCCATTACGTTTTAGAAATAATGAAGGTAGGTGGCAAAAAATCCCATATATGCAAGAGAAACTGTCCTTTAAGTGATCAAGGTGTGGAGGACGAATATCATTTTCAACTTGTATGTGCTACTTCGATGCTACTAGAACTGAATATCTACCAAAGACATGTATAACTAATGTAAATATGTAAACATTAAAAAGATAATTGCCACAAACGATACAGAACAAGTTTGTTTATCAATCATGCGTATTATAAGAATGTATTTTGTTAAACGATTTTTAAAATTATGTATTTTGTCTCTACCATACTTGTAAACTGTTATTTGTATATGGGCGTACATCCTTCATACTAATAAAGTATTTATCGATTGAATTATGTGACATTCATCAAGGTTACACAGGGTATGAAACTCCCAACATTTTCAGCCAGACCACAGGACTGGCTAGCTGAAATACTTGCCAGCCCTGACCAAAACCTGCCTGCCCACTATAATCATATGTTTCTCAGGATAATTTAATTAAAACTTTAAATCGAATTCATTGAACATGAAGTAATGCAAGAAAAGAAATAGCAAACACTTTTTAGGTCAGATTTGTATTTAATATCCTAGAATACATCATGTAAATAATGCTTATCATCGGGAAATATTTAGAATATTTTTACATATGAAATATAACCCGACCGTCGGGCAGGGGGATTTGAAAATCTGGCAGCCCGAGTTGAAATCAACCCGTCTCGGACGGTCGGGCAGGCAGGTATTTCGAACACTGGTGTAACACGTGACGCTAATGCAACATACCCTGGTCGTATTGGAGATGATGTCTCGCCGTCACAGGCTTCTTGGTGTACGTCTTCATGACGTTATCGTCCATGACGCATCGGCCCCGGAACAAGCTGAAACAGCCTGGACTACACAGCACGGACCCGAACACGTGCTCCGCGGACTTCTGGAGCCAGTGACCAATGGCGTACTCAAACTTCTGGTACCACACGACGGGGCCTAAGTACAAATGGATCCATATTTGAAAAGAAAACATCTTATTTTGATTTTTTTACGTAATTTAAAAATGATTCTGTAACAAAGTTGTGAAGCAAAGGGAGTGAATGTTTGAGTACGATTCAACTCATGGTCGACAGTTAAAGTGAGTGAATGAATTGGGTTAGACGCCGCTTTGAACAGTATTCCAGTTATATCATGACATGTCAGTTTAAATTGGGAGGAAAGCCCGAAGTGATGCAAGTCTCAGACGCTTACCACTTTGGTGAAACCCACGAGCATGGGTGTGGTGCTGACAAACCTAGAAACATAATCGGGGCGAACTTGGATTCGAATCAACAATCACAGGTTTCTGACGCGTCCAAGGGACGCAACTCTGCGCATCTAAATACGACGACCTTGTCTATATGACGACCTATACTGTGGGTGAGTTTCTTCATACGAGGACATCTGTCACTCCCTAGGTATTTTGAGTTGATGCCCATTTTATTCGGATCTCCACGGAGTGAGTGAGTTGGGGTTTATGTCACTTTAAGCAATATTCCAGCTTCCCACATTGTACCCAAGTGGGGACTCGACATCCAGGCTGTCTACCTGACGAGCAAACACGTACCCCACCACCCGGATCTTCACAGAGGAAAGAATCAAATGAGACTGCCCATTGTGTTGTAAACATGTATGAAAATGATTGTCCTTCGCACCTGACCCTTTCGGTTTGATCCTCCCACAAGCTGCAGCTACATCCGGGTTCTTCTTCATCCGGTCAACCAGAAGATGGACAGCCTCGGGCTGGAAGTCCACGTCGCCATCGAGGGCCAGCACGTAGGTGCTGTTAGCCTGTGGAGACACGTGGCAGAGAATATTACCTAGTCAAGTGGAGACACGTGGCGGAGAATATTACCTTGTGAAGTGGAGACATGTGGCGGAGAATATTACCTAGTCAAGTGGAGACACGTGGCGGAGAATATTACATTGTGAAGAGGAGACACGTGGGGGAGGATATTACCTAGTCAAGTGGAGACACGTGGCGGAGAATATTACCTTGTGAAGAGGAGACACGTGGCAGAGAATATTACCTTGTGAAGAGGAGACGAGTGGCGGAGAATATTACCTTGTGAAGAGGAGACACGTGGCAGAGAATATTACCTTGTGAAGAGGAGACACGTGGCAGAGGATATTACCTTGTGAAGAGGAGACACGTGGCGGAGAATATTACCTTGTGAAGAGGAGACACATGGCGGAGAATATTACCTTGTGCAGAGGAGACACGTGGCGGAGAATATTATCTTGTGAAGAAGAGACACGTGGCGGAGAATATTATCTTGTGAAGAGGAGACACGTGGCCAGAGAATATTACCCTGTGAAGTGGAGACACGTGACCAGAGAATATTACCTAGTCAAGAGGAGACACGTGGCGGAGAATATTACCTTGTGAAGAGGAGACACATTGCGGAGAATATTACCTTGTGAAGAGGAGACATGTTGTGGAGAATATTACCTAGTCAAGAGGAGACACGTGGCGGAGAATATTACCTTGTGAAGAGGAGACACATTGCGGAGAATATTACCTTGTGAAGAGGAGACATTTGGCAGAGAATATTACCTTGTGAAGAGGAGACACATGGCGGAGAATATTACCTAGTCAAGAGGAGACACGTGGCGGAGAATATTACCCTGTGAAGAGGAGACACGTGACCTGAGAATATTACCTAGTCAAGAGGAGACACGTGGCGGAGAATATTACCTTGTGAAGAGGAGACACATTGCGGAGCATATTACCTTGTGAAGAGGAGACATGTGGCGGAGAATATTACCTAGTCAAGAGGAGACACGTGGCGGAGAATATTACCTTGTGAAGAGGAGACACGTGGCGGAGAATATTACCTTGTGAAGAGGAGACACATTGCGGAGAATATTACCTTGTGAAGAAGAGACACGTGGCGGAGAATATTACCTAGTCAAGAGGAGACACGTGGCGGAGAATATTACCTTGTGAAGAGGAGACACGTGGTGGAGAATATTACCTTGTGAAGAGGAGACACATGGCGGAGAATATTACCTTGTGAAGAGGAGACACGTGGCGGAGAATATTACCTAGTCAAGAGGAGACACGTGGCGGAGAATATTACCTAGTCAAGAGGAGACGCATGGCGGAGTATATTACGTTGTGAAGAGGAGACACATGGCGGAGTATATTACCTAGTCAAGAGGGGACGGGGAAGGACTTACAGTTTGGACCATGCTGTCTGGCAGGGCATTGAGGAAGTCTTCAGTTTTTGAAACATTGGTAACATCGATGGACGCGTGGTTCTCCGCCAGCTTGTAGCCCAGGAGGTAGTACATGTACATCACCTGTAACGACACTCACTGTAGCAACGTCTGCATCTACACCTTCACCCACAGCTGCACCTTCCCCTACATCATGTTGACATCTACAGGTAAATCAACAGCTGCGCGTCTATCTGTAAATACACTTCTATCTATATCCACATCTTCATCAATATCCACGTGTATATCTACATCTCAAGGTAGATTATCGTCCCGTGAAGATCCGGGTTAGAATAGTTCTTCAGCAAACCGATGCTTGCCGTAAAAGGTGACTATGCTTGTCTATGAGACGACAAACGGGATCAGGTGGTCAGGCTCGCTGACTTGGTTAATGCATGTCGTCGTATCCCAATTGCGTGGATCGAACTCATGGTATCAATCACTGGAGTGTCTGGTCCAGACTCGACTATTTACAGACCGCCGTCATTATAGCTGGAAGTTTGCTGAGCGCGGCGTTAAACAAGAAACAAACATAACAAACAAACAAACAAACAAACAAACTAGGTAGATTATATATAATTATCCTCTCTTGTGTCCCCACCGCGAATTGGCTCGAAGCCCGAACAGCATCATAGTCCCTACTCCCTCACTCACTCTACATCTTCGTCACGATATGGCTGAACTATTGCCGATGTGACGTAAAGCTTTAACTCACTCACTCTACATCTCCACTTCAATTTTCTTAAGCAGCGATGTGGAAGATGGGATCCGATCTGTTTTACCTGCGACCATCTCTTCCTGTGTCTGATCTTGTCTTTGTCCTTGAGGTGGACAATGAATTTGTTTTGTCCTGGGAAGGTCCACTCTACCCGAGCACCGTAGGGCGTCTTGCACTTCACCGCCTTTCCCAGCTTCACAGGCCGGTTGAGAAACTCACTGAAAATAGGTTAATTTGGTGTAGTGGTCTATATACAAGTATATTTTATTTATTTCACAAATGCAGACAGACATACACATGTGTTTTTCTAATCAAGATAACCTTCATAGGTCTGTACAGTGAGTGAGTAAGTGAGTGAGTGAGTTGGGTTTAACGCCGCTTTTAACATTATTCCAGTCATATCGCGGCGTGTCAGCTTAATGTGGGAGGAAAGCCCGAAGTGGTGCAGGTCTCAGACGTTTACCACTTCGGTGAAACCCACGAGCACGGGTATGGTGCTGACAAACCTAGAAACATAATCGGGGCGAACCGGGATTCGAACCCACAATCATAGGTTTCTGGCGTGTCCACCTTGTACCCATGGGGGCGCATATCAAGCGAATGTCTGCTGACATAATGATTGAATTCACATGGTTCTCACATTATGGGTCGTCATATAGACAAGGTCGTCTAAGGCGCCGTAATTAGATGCGCAGAGTTGCGTCCCTTGGACGCGTCAGAAACCTATGATTGTGGATTTGAATCCCGGTTCGCCCCGATTATGTTTCTAGGTTTGTCAGCACCATACCCGTGCTCGTGGGTCTCACCGAAGTGGTAAACGTCTGAGACCTGCATCGGTTCGGGCTTTCCTCCCACATTGAGCTGACACGCCGTGATATAACTGGAATACTGTTAAAAGTGGCGTTAAACCCAACTCACTCACTCACTCACTCACTCACTCACTCAGAAATATGACTAAAACATAGAATGACACATAACATTGATGCATCGTCAAGTCCTGACACAACGTTGTCGGGTATAAACACCGACGGACTTCAGTTTCATATGAGCGTAAGAGTGTGACATACTGATAATGAACACCGACCAATAAGGAGTGAGTGAGTGAGTGAGTTGGGTTTAACGCCGCTTTTAACAGTATTCCAGTTATATCGCGGCGTGTCTGCTTAATGTGGGGGGAAAGCCTGAAGTGATGCAGGTTTAAGACGTTTACCACTTCGGTGAAACCCACGAGCACGGGTATGGTGCTGACAAACCTAGAAACATAATCGGGGCGAACCGGGGTTCGAACCCACAATCATAGGTTTCTGGCGTACCCAAGGGACGCAACTCTGCACAGCGAATCGCGGCGCCTTAGACGACTGGGCCACCCGTGCCCCCGACCAATAAGGAAGTTATCTCACATATACATGTATGTTTCAGGTCGTTTTATCCGGACGTTACAGTATACGGAGTGCGTAGAAGGCCAAAACATTCAACAGGAAAAGCCTTAAGTCTAATTGTTGCGTTTGAAACAAACCGATTAAATCCCTCTACAGAAAGGTTGTTATGTAACACTGTCTACAGCAATCTCTTCTTAATCTAATGTCACTAAGGTCCACGGTTACCACCGGGCGGGCATGTTCTTGTCGTTATAACAGATAGTGTTTCATTATCCTCCGTAGTTATCTTATTTCCTCTTAAGAATGCTGCAAAAAACGCCTTCGAGAGACACGAGGAAGACTCCAGTAAGACTGAAGTGGGTACTGTGTCAGATACAGAAGCGAAGCATCCTGTGGAGATAACAAACACGGTGGACATGTAAAGGGAAATTGTTTTCAAACTGTCAAGGCAGACCTTCCGATAGTAACATGGCTATTCAACATGGTGGTGGTTTGGTGTGTGACAATATATAATTTGGCGCTGGAGCAAGGGGCAAATGGATAGTTGATAAATATTTTCATATCTACACTTTTACGTTAATGCGCGTTTTATATAACTGTGTTATTATCACAAACACACACACACACACACACACGCACGCACGCACGCACGCACGCACGCACGCACGCACACACACACACACACAGACAGACATTCAAACAGATATGGTAACCAGAAGCGTTTGTGTGATTGATGTTTAACGCTGCACTCGGAAATATTCCAGCTATATGATGGCGCTATGTGAACAATCGAGCCTGGACCAGATAATATAGTGATTGATATTAAGAGCAAAAATCCGCGACGTCGAGGTACGATGATTCACAATCAACCAAGTCAGCGAGCCGGACCACCCGATCCATTCAGTCTGTTCACAGGTTGCTGTGACCAATGTCCCGGGCACCTACGGGTTGAGCTGTCTCATGCTAACACGTGCACTAGTGGTCAGCGCCCCATTGCAAATTAAAGGCCTCTTAAATGTTGTTGCATACTTTACATGAGGTATTTTCAAATAAGGATTGACTGTGTATACAGTCAATGCTTATAATTAAATTCGACAACGTAAAACATGTTTTATCTACAATAGTTTAACCCAAAACAGTTGTATATATCAAAACAGACAAAAATGACGACATTGATAAACATTCCAGGGCCCACTTTCACAAAGCGATCTTAGTGCTAAGATGATCGTAACTCCCATACTTTAACATAGGCTTACAATAGTTGTAGTGCTAAGATCGCTTTGTGCAAGTGGGCCGAGGTGTAGGAATACATACAGTGGCGTGACATGAATCAGGTGATCGTTTAATTTATGCACATAACTTGACACGCCTACACAGTCAGTAGCCAATCAATGGAGAGTGGGATTAAAACAATGTTCACTGGACCTGTCAATTGAGGCAAGAGGCGAAAAGAACTGCAACAGTCAGACTGTAACGAACCGGAAGAAATATGTCAGAGAGAAGGCGGCTGTTTCAAATAACATGGTCATTTACTGCGTGATTCAAACATTACTTCCCTGATTACGGTAAAACACAGTTGGAGAAATGCTAGTTAGAAATGAAACCGGAAGACATGAAAGTTGAACCGAGGCGAGCGGGAAAAAACAGGCGAGCGAGCCTGCACATTTGCTGTTACATTCATTCTCGGCCGGTTTCAAAGGGTAAATGTCCCGTGCATGACGATACACGTGAGCAGAAAGGAAATTCCCTCGACCGTAATAATGGGATTCCCCGACATTCCGCAGTAATAAAAGTAGTGCGCCGCGGTGGGCGTGGCTTAATTCCTTACATTCATTGGCACACTCCGTCGCAGTGCACACTCCGTCGCAGTGGTGACTCAGCATAACACCATTGCCACAGGCTAATTTGCATATCACGTGACCGGACTTTTCTCTTGTTTTTAAACAAACGCGCTTTTTCAGAAATCATTATAGAACGGACTAATGCAAGTATTTGGGGGCGCTTTACATATTGTTTTGCATAACTATATAGATATGCTACTACAACTGCGACAGTGAGTTGCATGACAATATATATTTATGCATCAAAGTGACCGTGTCGCTAGCTCTCCGTTGGGCTTCGATGACAGCACGTGGAGCCGTACAACCAATGTAAACATAGGATAACTACGCAAAAACAAGTAGATTTTTACGTATTTGCATACTTTCTCAATGAAAGTTAACCATTCTTTGACATTTGTTTATGAAAATGTGGAGACTTGTCAAACATGAAACGGATGAAAAGCATATGCAATATCTTGAATGGACCAAAGACGTATATAGAATGTATGTATGTACGTCCGTGAATGGACTGTGAAAGATGTGACGAATCGTCACATGGCGCTGGCCTGTGGCAGAGGTACTGATTCATTGGCACTCTCCTACCCAGAGTTCCTTGCGGCCGGCAGCCAGCCAGCATAGTACCTCTGCCACAGGCCAGCGCCCACTCTCCTACCCAGAGTTCCATGCGGCCGGCAGCCAGCTAGCATGTTCTGCTGAGTCACCACTGCCTGCGACGGAGTGTGATTCATTGGGAAATAAATGCAATAACACGTGACCAATTCAGCTAATCAGAATGCAGGAATTTCCATGAACACAACGAAAATTTAATTATATGGATATACAGATCATTCATATTTTCAGTCATGTCAGTAAAATTCCTACAAAGTGTGTCAACAGTTGACCAGCGTGGAGGCTACGGATATTTTCAAAATTCTCTGAACTGATGAGCCAAAGAAACTAAACATGTCATATTGTCATATGTTTGATTTTCAATTGAAAATGTTGAAAGTAAGCGATATTATATCCAAAATGTGAACTGTACAGGTGCTTAGTTAGCACTCAAAAATCCCGAGGCAAGAGAGTTAACTGAAATGTCCAGTTTATCGTAGCCCCACCAGTGGCTTTTAAGAGTCTCTTCTAAACCTCTCCTATGGAGCAATCAGATTCCACTTCTCGTATCACTCGCATTTACTTCAGACAAGATGGCGGCGCCCAATCAAGATCTATGTTGTGATAAAACGGGTCTTACATTGCGACCTGCATCAAATCACGTAAGCACCTTGATTAAAAACATGAAAAGATTTGGAAAAATCTGTTGACAACGAGTTGGCGGTGCACATGCTTTGCAAATCCTGCAATCGGCCGAAATCTGCACGACAGATTACGAACCGGATTTCGATTTAGATGCGCGATTTTGATTGGATTATGCATAGACTCGTTAGTCTAGCCAAAATGTAACTCCATAATACCAGCCTAGTTCGGAAAGCGAGGAAAGTGGACTTTTGTAGTCATTTAACTCCCTTGCATAGGGAAGATGGCAATCAAAGGATACTTTTACATTGTTATATTTACAAAACTAAAATTTGATCTTCAACTTTTTTGTGTGAATAATACGGAACTGCTGATGGATATCTTCGACATCTTATCTTTGAAAATCAATACATAGAATTATCTCCCTTGTTCATCATTGCAACTTATACATGCCACTTAGAGAAATATTATAGCGTGCTATACTGAAGTTAATTATCACAATGCCCCCGCTGACTCCAAATATCCCCGCTATAGCACTGCACCGCAACATACACTCATCAACACTCGCATCCTAAAGTGCAACTCCGCCGTCCTTACCTTGCAGCCTCGTCTAGTAGTCTGTTGAGAAGAAGCACAAAGTCATTTGGAGCTCGTCTTCCTGTCTTCTTCCTCTTCCTCTCCGGTCCTTCCTCAAACGTCTCATCACACATGGCGTCATCAAACAAGATATGCACTGCGGGAGGTCATTTTCATTTAATCGGTGATATGTTATCGTTAGTCAGTGGAGAAAAGTGAGTATGTGTGTTGTCTTAAATGGCGGGAAAACCTCCAGGGAGTGTGAGTGAGTAAGGTTTAGCACCGCTTTTAACATTATTCGAGTTATATCACGGCGGGTCAGCTTAATGTGGAAGGAAAGCCCGAAGTGATGCAGGTCTCAGACGTTTACCACTTCGGTGAAACCCACGAGCACGGGTATGGCGCTGACAAACCTAGAAACATAATCGGGGCGAACCGGGATTCGAACCCACAATCATAGGTTTCTGGCGTGGACAGCGAGTCGCGCCGCCTTTGACGACTGGGCCACCTGTACCCCCCCACTAGACTAGATACGGAGGACTATTACGGTGGCCCATAAGTACGGTGGCCCATAAGGGACATGGAGTCTGTTTTTCCATATTTTGATATTTCACTTACTTTTATCGTAACCTTTTGCAAATAAACACGATTTGTCTTACAAATATGTGATAAATCATGTGTAAAGAAGAATGATATTAAATCGCTGAAAAGTGAAACGAAAATGTCAAAAACAAAAACGCAAATGTCAAAAACTAAAATGAAAATGTCAAAAACAAAAGCGAAAATGTCAAAAACTAAAATGAAAAAATACAGAAAACTATTTTTTGTTGTTGTTTCATTTTAGTTTTTGACATTTTCGCTTTAGTTTTTGACATTTTCATTTTAGTTTTTGACATTTTCGTTTTTGTTTTTGACATGTCCTTTTTAGTTTTTGACATTTTCGCTTCACATTTCAGCGATTTCAATAGCTACTTGAAAGTACATTTTCCATGTTTTCGGTTGTTTTTATACATGATTTATCACATATTGGTATGACAAATTGTGTTAATTTGCAAAAGGTTACGATATAAGTAAGTGAAATATCAAAATATTGAAAAACAGACTCCATGTCCCTTATGGGCCACCGTAGACTATGAATGAAGAAGCAATCAGAGCATCCTCCCGACCTTCAAATTCGTAGTAATCCACATCCGCTTTCAGGTTGTCTTTTGCAAGCTTCTTAGCGCACTGGTCATGGTCTAATCTAAACACAGAAGAGACCATCATGTCGGCAAGTATCTTCATAACAAGCTTAGTATCACACATACGTCGGACGTCTTCCACAGACAATCCAGTGATTGATATTGTGAGCAACGATCAACACCGCCGGGGTACGTTGACACCCATCAACAAAACCTAACCACCCGATCCATTTGGTCGCCTCTTACGACCAGCAAAGGCTACTGGGGGCCAATTGTAACCCGGAACCCCCATGGGTGCTATTTGTTAAGGTCGAATTTAACAAGAAGGTTATTTCTTTCTCATATTGAGCAATCTTAGAATCTTAGTGAGTGAGTGAGTTTTTACGCCGCTTTTAGCAATATTCTAGCAATATCACGGCGGGGTACACCATAAATGGGCTTCACACATAGTACCCATGTAGGGAATCAAACCCGGGTCTTCGGCGTGACGAGCGAACGCTTTAACCACTAGGCTACCCCACCGCCCCTTGCCGTATCAAGGTGAGGGAGTGGTGAGGTGAGGATGAGGAGGAATGGTAACGAGTGGTAGGTTCCCTTACAGGATAAGCTTCTACATTGTAGAATGATTGTCACCAGAGATGATTCATAAGGTGACACATGGTGACTGTATATGAGGTTGGGATTATTCTCCGATGTTACAACATTGAAGTATGTTGTAGTGCAGGACGAACGGCAGTTGTAAAGCTTGGTTCGCGAGGTGGGTCAACCAGACCTTACACTGTTAGCGTATTATTGCCCCCTACCTGAACAGCGACGTTAGAATCTGCATCATTTCCTGCTCGTTCTCGTGCCACATCGTCGCACAGATGTAGATCATAGGGTGGCTCTGTGAGTCGGGCTGGTCGACCTCGTCCTTCTGCTGCCGGCGACTGTGGAGCAAGGCGAGGTCGGGGACAGGGCTACAGTAGTGCGGCAGGATAAACAGCCTGGAACAGAACAGTAGGGTGTACTGGTGGATAAACAAGCTGAACAGAACAGTTAGGTGTACTGGTGGATAAACAACCTGAAACAGAACAGTCAGCTAGGTGTACTGATGGATAAACAACCTGAAACAGAACAGTCAGGTGTACTGGTGGATAAACAACCTGAACAGAACAGTCAGGTGTACTGGTGGATAAACAACCTGAACAGAACAATCAGCTAGGTGTACTGATGGATAAACAACCTGGAACAGAACAGTCAGGTGTACTGGTGTATAAACAACCTGAACAGAACAGCCAGATGTACTGGTAGATTAACAACCTGGAACAGAACAGTCGGGTGTACTGGTGGATAAACAACCTGAACAGAACAGTCAGGTGTACTGGTGGACAAACAACCTGAAACAGAACAGTCAGGTGTACTGGTGGATAAACAACATGAACAGAACAGCCAGATGTACTGGTGGATAAACAACATGAACAGAACAGTCAGGTGTACTGGTGGATAAACAACCTGGAACAGAACAGTCAGGTGTACTGGTGGATAAACAACCTGAACAGAACAGTCAGATGTACTGGTGGACAAACAACCTGAACAGAACAGTCAGGTGTACTGGTGGATAAACAACATGAACAGAACAGTCAGGTGTACTGGTGGATAAACAACCTGAACAGAACAGTCAGATGTACTGGTGGACAAACAACCTGAAACAGAACAGTCAGGTGTACTGGTGGATAAACAACATGAACAGAACAGTCAGATGTACTGGTGGACAAACAACCTGAACAGAACAGTCAGGTGTACTGGTGGATAAACAACATGAACAGAACAGTCAGGTGTACTGGTGGATAAACAACCTGAACAGAACAGTCAGATGTACTGGTGGACAAACAACCTGAAACAGAACAGTCAGGTGTACTGGTGGACAAACAACATGAACAGAACAGTCAGGTGTACTGGTGGACAAACAACATGAACAGAACAGTCAGGTGTACTGGTGGATAAACAACCTGAACAGAACAGTCAGATGTACTGGTGGACAAACAACCTGAACAGAACAGTCAGGTGTACTGGTGGATAAACAACATGAACAGAACAGTCAGGTGTACTGGTGGATAAACAACCTGAACAGAACAGTCAGATGTACTGGTGGACAAACAACCTGAAACAGAACAGTCAGGTGTACTGGTGGACAAACAACCTGAAACAGAACAGTCAGGTGTACTGGTGGACAAACAACATGAACAGAACAGTCAGGTGTACTGGTGGACAAACAACCTGAAACAGAACAGTCAGGTGTACTGGTGGATAAACAACATGAACAGAACAGTCAGGTGTACTGGTGGATAAACAACCTGGAACAGAACAGTCAGGTGTACTGGTGGATAAACAACCTGAACAGAACAGTCAGGTGTACTGGTGGATAAACAACCTGGAACAGAACAGTCAGGTGTACTGGTGGATAAACAACCTGGAACAGAACAGTCAGGTGTACTGGTGGATAAACAACCTGGAACAGAACAGTCAGGTGTACTGGTGGATAAACAACCTGGAACAGAACAGTCAGGTGTACTGGTGGATAAACAACCTGGAACAGAACAGTCAGGTGTACTGGTGGATAAACAACCTGGAACAGAACAGTCAGGTGTACTGGTGGATAAACAACCTGGAACAGAACAGTCAGGTGTACTGGTGGATAAACAACCTGAACAGAACAGTCAGGTGTACTGGTGGATAAACAACCTGGAACAGAACAGTCAGGTGTACTGGTGGACAAACAACCTGGAACAGAACAGTCAGGTGTACTGGTGGATAAACAACATGAACAGAACAGTCAGGTGTACTGGTAGATAAACAACCTGGAACAGAACAGTCAGCTAGGTGTACTGGTAGATAAACAACCTGGAACAGAACAGCTAGGTGTACTGGTAGATAAACAACCTGGAACAGAACAGTCAGGTGTACTGGTAGATAAACAACCTGGAACAGAACAGTCAGGTGTACTGGTAGATAAACAACCTGGAACAGAACAGTCAGGTTTACTAGTGGATAAACAACCTGAAACAGAACAGTCAGGTGTACTGGTGGATAAACAACCTGGAACAGAACAGTCAGCTAGGTGTACTGATGGATAAACAACCTGGAACAGAACAGTTAGGTGTACTAGTGGATAAACAACCTGGAACAGAACAGTCAGCTAGGTGTACTGATGAATAAACAACCTGGAACAGAACAATCAGCTAGGTGAACTGGTGGATAAACAACCTGAAACAGAACAGTCAGGTGTACTCTTGGACAAACAACCTGAAACAGAACAGTCAGGTGTACTGGTGGATAAACAACCTGGAACAGAACAGTTAGGTGTACTGGTGGACACACAACCTGAACAGAACAGTCAGGTGTACTCTTGGACAAACAACCTGGAACAGAACAGTCAGGTGTACTGGTGGATAAACAACATGAACAGAACAGTCAGGTGTACTGGTAGATAAACAACCTGGAACAGAACAGTCAGGTGTACTGGTGGATAATCAACATGAACAGAACAGTCAGGTGTACTCTTGGACAAACAACCTGGAACAGAACAGTCAGGTGTACTGGTGGACACACAACCTGAACAGAACAGTCAGGTGTACTGGTGGACACACAACCTGAACAGAACAGTCAGGTGTACTGGTGGACACACAACCTGAACAGAACAGTCAGGTGTACTGGTGGATAAACAACATGAACAGAACAGTCAGGTGTACTCTTGGACAAACAACATGAACAGAACAGTCAGGTGTACTCGTGAATAAACAACCTGGAACAGAACAGCTAGGTGTACTGGTGGATAAACAACCTGGAACAGAACAGTCAGGTGTACTGGTGGATAAACAACATGAACAGAACAGTCAGGTGTACTGGTGAATAAACAACCTGAACAGAACAGTCAGGTGTACTGGTGGATAAACAACCTGGAACAGAACAGTCAGGTGTACTGGTGGACAAACAACCTGGAACAGAACAGTCAGGTGTACTGGTGGATAAACAACCTGGAACAGAACAGTCAGGTGTACTGGTGGACAAACAACCTGGAACAGAACAGTCAGGTGTACTGGTGTATAAACAACCTGGAACAGAACAGCCAGATGTACTGGTAGATAAACAACCTGGAACAGAACAGTCAGGTGTACTGGTGGATAAACAACCTGGAACAGAACAGTCAGGTGTACTGGTGGATAAACACCCTGAAATAAAACAGTCAGGTGTACTGGTGGATAAACAACCTGGAACAGAACAGTCAGGTGTACTGGTGGATAAACAACCTGGAACAGAACAGTTAGGTGTACTGGTGGATAAACAGCCTGAAATAAAACAGTCAGGTGTACTGGTGGATAAACAACCTGGAACAGAACAGTCAGGTGTACTGGTGGACACACAACATGAACAGAACAGTCAGGTGTACTGGTGGATAAACAACCTGGAACAGAACAGCTAGGTGTACTGGTACATAAACAACCTGGAACAGAACAGTCAGGTGTACTGATAGATAAACAACCTGGAACAGAACAGTCAGGTGTACTGGTGGATAAACAACCTGGAACAGAACAGTCAGGTGTACTGGTGGATAAACAACATGAACAGAACAGTCAGGTGTACTGGTGGATAAATAACCTGGAACAGAACAGTCAGGTGTACTGATGGATAAACAACCTGGAACAGAACAGTCAGGTGTACTGGTGGATAAACAACCTGGAACAGAACAGTCAGGTGTACTGGTGGATAAACAACCTGGAACAGAACAGTCAGGTGTACTGGTGGATAAACAACCTGGAACAGAACAGTCAGGTGTACTGGTGGATAAACAGCCTGGAACAGAACAGTCAGGTGTACTGGTGGATAAACAACCTGGAACAGAACAGTCAGGTGTACTGGTGGATAAACAACCTGAACAGAACAGTCATGTGTACTGGTAGATAAACAACATGAACAGAACAGCTAGGTGTACTGATGGATAAACAACCTGGAACAGAACAGTCAGGTGTACTGGTGGATAAACAACATGAACAGAACAGTCAGGTGTACTGGTGGATAAACAACCTGGAACAGAACAGTCAGGTGTACTGGTGGATAAACAACCTGGAACAGAACAGTCAGGTGTACTGGTGGATAAACAAATAAACAACCTGGAACAGAACAGTCAGGTGTACTGGTGGACAAACAACCTGGAACAGAACAGTCAGGTGTACTGGTAGATAAACAACATGAACAGAACAGCTAGGTGTACTGATGGATAAACAACCTGGAACAGAACAGTCAGGTGTACTGGTGGATAAACAACCTGGAACAGAACAGTCAGGTGTACTGGTAGATAAACAACATGAAAAGAACAGCTAGGTGTACTGATGGATAAACAACCTGGAACAGAACAGTCAGGTGTACTGGTGGATAAACAACATGAACAGAACAGTCAGGTGTACTGGTGGATAAACAACCTGGAACAGAACAGTCAGGTGTACTGGTGGATAAACAACCTGGAACAGAACAGTCAGGTGTACTGGTGGATAAACAACCTGGAACAGAACAGTCAGGTGTACTGGTGGATAAACAACCTGGAACAGAACAGTCAGGTGTACTGGTGGATAAACAACCTGGAACAGAACAGTCAGGTGTACTGGTGGATAAACAACCTGGAACAGAACAGTCAGGTGTACTGGTGGATAAACAACCTGGAACTGAACAGTCAGGTGTACTGGTGGACACACAACATGAACAGAACAGTCAGGTGTACTGGTGGATAAACAACCTGGAACAGAACAGCTAGGTGTACTGGTACATAAACAACCTGGAACAGAACAGTCAGGTGTACTGATAGATAAACAACCTGGAACAGAACAGTCAGGTGTACTGGTGGATAAACAACCTGGAACAGAACAGTCAGGTGTACTGGTGGATAAACAACATGAACAGAACAGCTAGGTGTACTGATGGATAAACAACCTGGAACAGAACAGTCAGGTGTACTGGTGGATAAACAACATGAACAGAACAGTCAGGTGTACTGGTGGATAAACAACCTGGAACAGAACAGTCAGGTGTACTGGTGGATAAACAACCAGGAACAGAACAATCAGGTGTACTGGTGGATAAACAACCTGGAACAGAACAGTCAGGTGTACTGGTGGATAAACAACCTGGAACAGAACAGTCAGGTGTACTGGTGGATAAACAACCTGGAACAGAACAGTCAGGTGTACTGGTGGATAAACAACCTGGAACAGAACAGTCAGGTGTACTGGTGGATAAACAACCTGGAACAGAACAGTCAGGTGTACTGGTGGATAAACAAATAAACAACCTGGAACAGAACAGTCAGGTGTACTGGTGGACAAACAACCTGGAACAGAACAGTCATGTGTACTGGTAGATAAACAACATGAACAGAACAGCTAGGTGTACTGATGGATAAACAACCTGGAACAGAACAGTCAGGTGTACTGGTGGATAAACAACCTGGAACAGAACAGTCAGGTGTACTGGTAGATAAACAACATGAAAAGAACAGCTAGGTGTACTGATGGATAAACAACCTGGAACAGAACAGTCAGGTGTACTGGTGGATAAACAACATGAACAGAACTGTCAGGTGTACTGGTGGATAAACAACCTGGAACAGAACAGTCAGGTGTACTGGTGGATAAACAACCTGGAACAGAACAGTCAGGTGTACTGGTGGATAAACAACCTGGAACAGAACAGTCAGGTGTACTGGTGGATAAACAACCTGGAACAGAACAGTCAGGTGTACTGGTGGATAAACAACCTGGAACAGAACAGTCAGGTGTACTGGTGGATAAACAACCTGGAACAGAACAGTCAGGTGTACTGGTGGATAAACAACCTGGAACAGAACAGTCAGGTGTACTGGTGGATAAACAACCTGGAACAGAACAGTCAGGTGTACTGGTGGATAAACAACATGAACAGAACAGTCAGGTGTACTGGTGGATAAACAACCTGAACAGAACAGTCAGGTGTACTGGTGGATAAACAACCTGGAACAGAACAGTCAGGTGTACTGGTGGATAAACAACATGAACAGAACAGTCAGGTGTACTGGTGGATAAACAACCTGGAACAGAACAGTCAGGTGTACTGGTGGATAAACAACCTGGAACAGAACAGTCAGGTGTACTGGTGGATAAACAACCTGGAACAGAACAGTCAGGTGTGCCGGTAATCAATCAAGTACACCACACGGTGATATAGGAATTTATTTCCATTACTAATTGAATGGCAACGTCAAGGGATAACCAGTCTCGATTATCCAAAGAAAAAGATCCCGGTACGTGTAAGGTTAAAAAGTGGTGAAACTTATATATGAATGGATCCCTGAAAATCAGTAATGACTCTAGGTGTTCAAGAAAAGGGTAAGCATGTCCTGCCCTAATGGTAGCCCTCGCCACTCACACAATAAGTAAAGAGTTAATGAAAGAATAGGCATTTTAGTGAATGAAAAATCTGAACAGTTGTGGTTGTCACAAGCATTTGTCCTACCTACTACATAAGCTGTACGCCACCCTATATCATGTGCAATTAAATACATAAACGAGTCTGGACCAGACAATCACTGGATTGATATTTTGAAAATTGAGCCATGACGTCTGGGTCGATGACATGCAATCAACCAGTCGCGACCATCCGCTCCATTAAGTAGCCTCTTACAAAGAGCATAGATTGCTGGTGACCTATTCTAGCCCGGAATCCCTATGGGATATGGGGTGCTTTGGGTTATGCACTAAGTCTAAAAATGCAGAAACTTAAACATGATAATTCTTTACTGGGACTTACTGTGGTGTGAAGGCAAGCCTCTTGATCGGGGTCACTATCCACACATGGACACACATCATAACCTGGGACACCCAGCCCAGGATGAACGCTCCCAGCAAGAGGCCATACTTTGTGTCCATTTCATGGACGCAGATATTGATCCCATAACCTCCTCTCAGGGAGAAGATATTGGCGACATCTGGCAGGAACTGGAGAAGAAGGAAAAGGACTGGGGACGCGAGGGTGAGAGGCAGCGAGAAGGCAACTCTCTGGAGGCACAGCTTACACGCAGTGATTGCGAAGTAGAAACAAAGCCACGTAGTGCCGATGTGGATGAAGAATGACTCCAGAGCCGGCATCATATGCATCCTGTTTGGAGTCCTGTGTGGACAGGCAACTGATCGTTTCGATCTTGGTAATGTCCCAATACTGGTGGGGGATAAGGAGCTGGAGCTGTTGTATGTTGTTGCTGTAGCTGCTGATGTGTTAGTTGATACCGGCATGGAAGCAGTTGTCACGTTGAAGGTATTTGTTGTTTGTGTCATTGATTTTGACATTGTCGTCGTCGTCGTTGTTGTCGTCGTCGTCGATTGGTTAACAGGAACATCCTTGGATGACATGTACATTGCTGGTATAGGATTGTTCAATTCAGGCACCAGGTATGTCTTCAGCAATACCACAGCAATAAGAATCCGGAGTATGGAGGACACCAGGCATGCTTTGTTACTCCCTTTCGTCCGTGTCTCGAGATCTAGTTTGATGCCCCCAATCTGGTCAGGCAGGTAATTGCTCACCCACCTCAGTGACAACAATACAAGGCCCGCAACGCCCCATATACGTAGTTCCAGAACATCGGAGTCCTTCACCTTCACCCCTTTGACCTTGACCTCGGAGAAGATAATATGCAAAGAACACAGAACTGCGGCTCCACACTGCAGAGCAAGAGCTCCCAGGCGCATTCCAAACCTAAACCACTTCCTGTTCTTCCCTGAAACCACAGTCCCAGTAAGGGCTGGTAATATCCCTGTTACCATGGTGATGGTTAACGATTCCGACGTGGTGAGGAAGGGAAACACTTTAAACGCTAATCCATACAACGCAGCACCATGAAGAACCTCCGTCACACAAATCTGTAACATATAGATGGAAGATGAACATAAGGAATAAGAACGGCTTACAATGTATGTATGTATGTATGTATGTGTGCGTGCGCGTGTGTGTGTGCGCGCGCGCGCGTGTGTGTGTGTGTGTGTGTGTGTGTGCGTGCGTGCGTGCGTGCGTGCGTGCGTGCGTGTGTGTAGGCAGGTGTGTGTGTGTGTGTGCGTGCGTGCGTGCGTGCGTGTGCGTGTATCTATGTTTGCTTACATGGCATTCCAACACGTATGCCAGTTGCTTGAAGGTGACTTTATGTTGTCATTTGATACTTACATATATGAATACGGATCTGACTGGTTTCTCCTTCTTGCCGAATATAATCCCCCAGGAAGTCTGTAGGACCTTCAGGACATCCGGCAAACTGATGCAGATGGCAAGCAACCAGGCGTAGTGGTTCAACATCAGATTCTCCTGCTGGGAACCAACGAAGAGATGCTGAGAGCGCCTGTTTATGGCGTTAAAACGGTCAATACTTGAAGGGCGACTATGCTTGTCGTAAAAGGCGACTAACGGGATCGGGTGGTCAGGCTCGCTGACTTTCTTGATACATGTCATCAATCCCAATTACGTAGATCGATGCTCATGATGTCAATCATTGGATTGTCTGATCCAGACTCGATTATTTTACAGACCGCCGTCATATAGCTGGATTATTGCTGAGTGCGGCGTTAATTACAAACAAACAAACATTTCATCAATATGATAGATACCAAGTGGCAAAGGAGCAGGCAACAACAACAAAAGTGAAACAAATGCAAAAGCAGTATTCGAGCAATATGTTTTAGCCTATTGCAATGGCGTTAGACTTGTTCCTTATAGATATCAATATCCGCATCTCTATAATGGACTCAAGAAAGAACTTACTAACAACAAATCGATATAAATTTATAATGATGATTGTAGTACCTTGACCCCGGGAAGTCGAAGTTTGCCTATTTGCTCCGAGATGTGGAAGAGGTGGAGTTTGCTGAGGACTGCACACCCCATGACCCCTATCACCAGGAATATCACCACAAGCACCTTGCTGACCTTCATGATCTTAGTGCCAAGGCCTTGGAAACAGGATTCTCCAGTAGTGAGGGGGCGGTCCCTGAAAATGTCCCATCTGTCTCCTAGCAACGCCTCGGTTCTGAAAATATAATCCTGAAAATTGGCTGTATGCAAAATAAACTACATTCTTCTTTTGCTGATGCTGATGTCTTGACTCATTTGCCAACATAAGCTAGTTTTGACCCTATATTTATCGTGATGCATAAGTTCATAGGTAGCAGACGCTGAAGACCATTCTCGCGGCTTTTGCTTAGTGGGTAGAGTCCACTGATTCATATCGACACGTTAGCCAATGTACAAATGATATTCCAGTGACATATTTCTGACAGATGATAACAGTTCCATAAAAACGTAGATTTTAGTTGAAACACATCATCGAATCGGAGGTTCTTGGACGCCGTAGGTGCGATGATGTGTTTCCCTTCCCTACAGCCTCAAGTCAGACACAGCAGCCTTGTAAAATGACTATACACGATGAGGATAAAATGAATATATACTCAAGTGCCACTCACTCCTCCTGTTTTGCCGTGTATTCATCCGAGGACCGGCCTAGACTCCCCGCTCCGCTGTCGATTTCATCATTGGTTAGATCTGTCCTCTCCGTCCGGACGCTGGAGAGGGAAGAATGGACAGACAACATGTTACAGTGTGTCCTTTCTGTTGTAAATCGGCCTTCATTTCCTTAATCGTCACTAGTGCAGGTGTTACCCGCGACCTTGATACAGGTGTTAGCCATGACCTTGGTGCAGGTGTCACCCATGACCTTGGTGCAGGTGTCACCCATGACCTTGGTGCAGGTGTTACCCGTGACCTTGGTGCAGGTGTTACCCAAGACCTTGTTGCAGGCGTTACCCATGACCTTGGTGCAGGTGTTACTCGTGACCTTGGTGCAGGTGTCACCATGACCTTGGTGCAGGTGTCACCCATGACCTTGGTGCAGGTGTCACCATGACCTTGGTGCAGGTGTCACCCATGACCTTGGTGCAGGTGTCACCTATGACCTTGGTGCAGGCGTCACCCATGACCTTGGTGCAGGTGTCACCTATGACCTTGGTGCAGGCTTCACCCATGACCTTGGTGCAGGTGTCACCTATGACCTTGGTGCAGGTGTCACCCATGACCTTGGTGCAGGTGTCACCCATGACCTTGGTGCAGGTGTCACCCATGACCTTGTTGCAGGCGTCACCCATGACCTTGATACTGGTGTTACCCATGGCCTTGATCATAACCATGCGATGACATTGAGAATCTTTTGCAAACATCTCTGTGTCTCTGTCTGTGTGTGCGAGTTCAGTTATGGTACGTATTGCAACCGCTCGATCCTGATGACGGCAAGCCTGGCATACTGGGGGTCTTTTCTACTCTGAAATCGAAGGTGGTACAATACTTCACCGAGGCAGCTGATGACGTGTCACTGCATCCGGGTACTGACCTGGCAGTGGCTGAGCTTCTTTGGGATGTCCGCCCAGCATCGTCCAGTGGTGGGGGGTTAATCTCGACAAGAGGGATGTCCCTAGTAGAAACATAAATCATATTATCAGCCATGCGGGGACACAGGTGTCCCAGTGGTGGGCGCCGTAATTCGTTATGCATAATTGCACCCATCTCGGATTCGACCCGATAATAATCAGATTCCGATGATGATTTTTCAGGACCATGATATTAGTTCTGGCAAAGTGACAGAGGCCTACATGTCACTGCCCTCCGAAATTCAGCTGACACGCCGTAAATGAAATGATGGCGTCAAACCTAAGGACACGGCTTTCCAAGGTCGGAATCGTACAATGGATATCTTACGATAAGGGAAACGTATTTTGTTGTTTTTATTTACGTATGTTTTCATCATTCTACACACAAAAAACGTGTTTTGCAACGTATGAAAAAACAATTCAGGCCATTTCGTCACTTGTTTTTTTTTCATGTTTGCTCTGTCGTGTATTGCCACGATCTGGCGGTTACCATATTAGGAATTTTGAAGATAAACTCATGGAGATGGTTAAGTGACGCGGAAGTTTCTAATGCATTTTTTGTACAACGTATACATATTACCAGAAAGACGACGTTGAGGTCGTTAACGTTTACCTCATTATTGAAATCCAGGATTAGGATGTTGCGGACAGACCAAGGGTCATAATCGGGTAGAACTCGTAACCCCGATGATCGGCACCCTACCCCACTTGACCACCCGACAAGTAACTAGCAACCGTTAATGATTAACAGTCAGGATCACGTGGGCAGGGCGATGATGACACTCTAATTAATAAATCAGCATAACAAAAGTTACCGTCGTTTCGGTACGGTCTCTTCGTAGTCTGGTTCCATCTCGATGGCAGCGTTTCCCATGTTTGGCACCCGAGAGAAGGAGTTGAGAGGGGGGTTGCTAGATGAAGGGGGTTGGAAACTCCCACGTCGTGGTGCGTTGTCATAGTGACGACGACTGGACGGTGGACTAGATACAAATAATAGACTTGGTCACAAAAAATTAAAAACAAAATATTGATCACAATTAAGAAAAAAACATCCCAAACATCAAAACAGTACATGATGATCACAAACAAGAAACTTTGTCGACAACAAATATGAAAATAGATTTGATCATAGTGATAATAACAGATTTAATCACTAACATGAAAGAAGACGTTCTCTTTAATGAGCATGTCAAAGGCTCAGAATCCGTGCTTGTGGATTCCGGGACAGAATATGTCCCCCATAGCCGGTGCTTGCCGTCACAGCGGACTGTGAATTGGGTTGTGCGTCATCGTTTCCCGATTTCGTGGATCTTTGCTCACGATATCAACCACACGTATGCTTCGTCCAGGTTCAGTTATTTAGTCTGAGTGTTATTGCTAGACTGGGGGCACGGGTGGCCCAATCGTCTTAGGCGCCGCGATTCGCTGTGTAGAGTTGCGTCCCTTAGGCACGCCAGAAACCTATGATTGTGGGTTCGAATCCCGGTTCGCCCCGATTATGTTTCTAGGTTTGTCAGCACCATGCCCGTGCTCGTGGGTTTCACCGAAGTGGTAAATGTCTGAGACCTGCATCACTTCGGGCTTTCCACCCACATTAAGCTGACATGCCGTGATATAACCGGAATACTGTTAAAAGCGGCGATAAACACAACTCACTCACTCACTCATAAAAGCCAATATTTCCGACTTAATCAAAGTTTCCTCTTAATGAACACTATCCGTTTCCGTTATCAAGACAAATACATCCGCACACAGAACAAACAAGAGGTTAAAGCCAATGTTTCATCAAAAAAACCTACGAAATAAGGAGTGCTCGTGTTATTGATCAATAGAGAGAGAATGCGAACCTTTGCGAAATATAATCACAACTGCAAGAAAAATAGGTATTACTTTTGACATGCATATATTGATTAAATTCTATTTTTTATCGGGATTCATTATTTCTTATGAGGTTGTTAAACGTCATTGAACAGCCCCGCGAAGATCCTGGTTAGCATAGGTCTTCATCATCCTATGCTTGCTGTATGATGCCTCTATGCTTGCTGTATGATGCCTCTATGCTTGCTGTATGATGCCTCTACGCTTGCTGTATGATGCCTCTATGCTTGCTGTATGATGCCTCTATGCTCGCTGTATGATGCCTCTATGCTTGCTGTAAGATGCCTCTATGCTTGCTGTATGATGCCTCTATGCTTGCTGTAAGCCGCTCTATGCTCGCTGTATGATGCCTCTATGCTTGCTGTATGATGCCTCTATGCTTGCTGTGTGATGCCTCTATGCTTGCTGTGAGATGCCTCTATGCTTGCTGTATGATGCCTCTATGCTTGCTGTATGATGCCTCTATGCTTGCTGTATGATGCCTCTATGCTTGTTGTAAGATGCCTCTATGCTCGCTGTATGATGCCTCTATGCTTGCTGTATGATGCCTCTATGCTTGCTGTGAGATGCCTCTATGCTCGCTGTATGATGCCTCTATGCTTGCTGTAAGATGCCTCTATGCTTGCTGTATGATGCCTCTATGCTTGCTGTAAGATGCCTCTATGCTTGCTGTATGATGCCTCTATGCTTGCTGTATGATGCCTCTATGCTTGCTGTGAGATGCCTCTATGCTTGCTGTATGATGCCTCTATGCTTGCTGTATGATGCCTCTATGCTTGCTGTATGATGCCTCTATGATTGCTGTATGATGCCTCTATGCTTGCTGTGAGATGCCTCTATGCTTGCTGTATGATGCCTCTATGCTTGCTGTATGATGCCTCTATGATTGCTGTATGATGCCTCTATGCTTGCTGTATGATGCCTCTATTATTTCTGTATGATGCCTCTATGATTGCTGTAAGATGCCTCTATGCTTGCTGTATGATGCATCTATGCTTGTCGCAAGAGGCGACAAACGGGATTGGGTGGTCAGGCATGCCGACTTAGTTGATGTATGTCATTGTATCCCAATTGCGTGGATCGATGCTCATGACATCACTCGCTAGGTTATCTGGCCCAGACTTGATTATTTACATACCGCCGTCATATAGCCAGAATATTGCTGAGTGCAGCGCTAAAGAACAACCAACCAAACAAACGCCATTGAACGTGCCCGAAGGTGCGCAGCTAGCCACACGCGCCTCTTGAGATTATGTAGCACATGTTAACATATGTCGGCTCGATGAAAAAACACACATGCAGGGAATAATAAGCGAAGGTGCAGTCAACAATAATATAGAGATTAACCTTTGAAAAACAAAATCGCTATACTTCAGTCTCAAGTACATCTAGAAACATAGCCCCGGCAACACAACTATCGGCGTTGTATTTAAACGTGAATATATCTATATCGTCTGTTTTTTAGCGCTGCTTTGTGCCGCGATGCATCATCAGAAGTAGATGTGTCTCGCGTGATACCCCCTTTATGTTTTGGTCGTCTACCTGACTCCTGGGAGATATCAGGACCCACATAAGTCACCATACGAGTAAAAAGACACACCATCATTTCTTAGCAACCGTTATAGTTACGTACTTCAAAATAAATTGGCGTATAGTTATTCCACATTGATCAGGTGGGCGGGTGTCTATGAGAATCGTGTGGTGCTGCACGCGAGTTGAAAACACATGATCCGCTTTTTGCCAGATAATGGACGTTGCACAGACTCCCTCTTAGTCATACAACCAAATAACCCACTCATTTCCTTAACCTCTACACTCCCCCCCCCCCCCCCCTTCTTCTGACTTCTGAAGGGTTTTTCTCGCATAAAATTTATTTTATTGGGCTATTGTTAGTGTCGTGTTCGAATCGAATTGAAAACCAAGCTGTGGTAGCAAGTGTATCCAGGGTATTTCACAATATATTACAATCCCACTTTAGCAGATCTTTTACCCCGCCCCGATACCTCTTTGCTTGACGATCTAAGGACACCTTCACAAAGGTCACGTCTAGTTAGCTCTCTAACCTGCATCGAGGCCTCGAATATTCCCGTCTCGAATGAGCTGAGCATTCAGACTAATTTGGCTGATTTTAATTTCTGTGCCTCGAAACCGAAGTTAATCTGCCTGTTCCGAATGTAAATGATAAAGGTCGCGCCATAATATTGTTGTGAACAGACCCTTGGGTTTCTGAGCGCCATGGCATCTATACCAAGAATTGAGTATCATCGAAGGAATATGTGTTTTTTGTGAAACAAGGAAATTTGGCCAAGACGTTTAACTTAAGCTTCAGGTATGTCGATGATCTGATACCTTTCAATAACCATCAAATATAAAGCCAATTCCCTTCCGCCGATTTCCCACCTGAACTAGAAATACAGGCGACCAGTGAGACCGCCTCATCTATTTCATATTTAGAACTATGCATAAAAATTTACAGTGACAAAACACTCTTCACAACACTGAATGACGTGAGGGATGATTTCAACTTTACAACTCACAACTTTGGAGATACAATCGAGCATGATCTTTCCACTAAGATTTCAAAGTGCGTCATACGACTCTGGCTCAGAGGTTGTTTGATCAAGGTTACAACATTCAAGGTCTCAGTAAAGCTTTGAAAAGTGGAGGACATTTCCAAATTTGAAACATCAGTGACAAAAATGATTTTGACTTGTACCACATGTTCCCGTGTTTTACAGGTGAACAATTGACTTGCGTATGCATGTGTTTGTGACGGGTGCCACCGGTGGTGCAGGATACGCTCTCCTTTTCGCGAAAACCTATTATCATCACTATTTATAGTGATTCATAAACACATGCTAATAATGTATTCGTTATCGTACAATCGACTCTGCTTTTACAGAGATTTCGATTATTTATGGAAAGGGTTATGTCACTTTTCTTTTCTCTTCTCTAGCAAAGAAACAAAGCCGATCGTTTTGAAAAGATGATATCTGATTTTCTGAAGAACCCAAACATATTTCATTTAGACTGGGAGGTCACAGTTTGCTCAGGGTTAATCTAACGTGACTTTCTATAGAGGTATCCTCAGATCTCCACCCAGAGGAGTCCTATCGGAGTACCAATTTTACTGAGAGTGTAATCGAACGAAATACCAATACATTGGATAATCGAGGATGCAGTGATACACAACCAGTGGAACATAACCAAGGGAGTTCCACACCAATTAGCTGTTGATATAGGCATGTGTGTAGTAGTGTACTGAACATCGCACGGTACCAACCTGTGCATGGGGGTGTTGTGGTGTGACCGGAAGGCAGGGACCTGTACTCCATCACCGTGGAACATGGGGTTGCTGTAGCCCCTGTGGAGGCACAAATGCTGTTCTTATAATATGCAAAATGAATATAGGCATACACAATAATGCAGGCACATGTTCTTTACAAAATAATGTAAGTACATCTTCTGTACAAAATAATGCAAGTAGTGTATATCTTCTTTACAAAAAATTGCGAGTAATGTACATTTTCTTTACAAAATGCTGCAAGTGATCTACTTCTTCTTTACAAAATAATGCAAGCAGTTTACATAATCTTCACACAAAAAATGCAAATAGTGTACATTTCTTTACAAAATAATGCAAGCAGTGTACGTTTTCTTTACAAAATGATGCAAGTAATGTACATCTTCTTTCCAAATAATGCAAGTAGTGTTCATCTTCTTTGCAAAATATTGCAAGTCGTGTACATCTTCTTTACGAAATAATGCAAGCTGTGTACATTTTCTTTACAAAATAATGCAAGTAGTGTACATCTTCTTCACAAAATAATGCAAGTCGTGTACATCTTCTTTACGAAATAATGCAACTTGTGTACATCTTCTTTCCAAATAATGCAGCTAGTGTATATCTTCTTTACAAAATAATGCAAGTAATGTACTCTTTACAAAATAATGCAAGCTGTGTACATCTTCTTTACAAAATAATGCAAGTAGTGTATTTCTTTTTTACAAAATAATGCAAGTCATGTACATTTTCTTTCCAAAATTATGCAAGTGATGTACTTCTTCTTTAAAATAATGCCAGTAATGTACAACTTTACAATAAAATATAAGCAGTGTACATTTTCTTTACAAAATAATGCAAGTACTGTACATCTTCTTTACAAAATAATGCAAGTTGTGTATTTCTTCTTTTCAAAATAATGCAAGTGATGTACATCCTCTTTACAAAATAATGCAAATAGTGTACACAATCTTCACGAAATAATGCAAGCCATGTACATCTTCTTTACAAAATAATCCAAGCAGTGTACATAAACTGCCTTCGTGGTCTAGTGGTAGAGCGGAAGATCGAGGGTTATATCGAAGTCCACGTCTTACAAAAAGACGTTAAAAGGTGGTACTTGTTGTTACCCTGCCTGTCGGTCGGCATTAAAGGGCTAAAACAAGGACTGGTCGGCTCGGAGTCAGTATACTGTGTCTGAGTGGAGGTATTCGTTGTATCTGAGTTGGCTATCACTATAAAATCGGTATTGGTCTGGACTAGTACAAGCAGCCACAGACACACATGCATGCACGTCGCTAAGTGCAATAATCTTGAACGCGATGTTAAAACCCATTTCACCTCACCTTTACCATATACAGAAGTTTGCATCGTCTATACAACAAAACGCAAGAAGTGTACATCTTCCCATGATCAGCGTTCCTCAACATTGCCACACACAGCCAATGGCGTTTATTTATTTATTGTAAAGTCGAGACGTACCCTTGTGACACCTGCAGGGAGGATTCTCTTCCATTGTGGAACTGTCCCCTGTTGATACCGGGGATGCTGGTCCAGCTGTTGTTCGCGGAGATACCGCGTCTAGGTAACAGACGGACAGATATTTTATTTTCGTCTCACTGCTGTACATCATAAAACAACATGCATAAAATAGGAGCTTATACATACAAATAATAATACAGCGCCACTCATATAAAGTTATGAGTGAGTGAGTGAGTTGGATTTAACGCCCATTTTAACAGTATTACAGTTATATCACGGCGTGTCAGCTTAATGTGGGAGGAAAGCCCGAAGTGATGCAGGTCTCGGACGTTTACAACTTCGGTGAAACCCACGAGCACGGGTATGGTACTGACAAACCTTGAAACATAACCGGGGCAATCCGGGATTCGAACCCACAATCATAGGTTTCTGGCGTGCCCAAGGGATGCAATTCTGCACAGCGAATCGCGGCGCCTTAGACGACTGGGCCACCCGTGCTGCCTAAAGTTATGAGATACAATACAAAACTAGATGATATATACAGATAAAAATGTTTTACCCACATAACAAAAGCTTTCTGCGTTGTAATATTCAAAAGCAGGTGAATTGAACCTCATGGACACACAATTTCTTATTGTTTGACAAAGGCCGTTATACTCGTAAATAATGTAGTAGATCTTATATCATCACATTATGGACATTAGAATAAAAGCCGTTATACTCGTAAATAATGTAGTAGATCTTATATCATCACATTATGGACATTAGAATAAAAGCCGTTATACTTGTAAATAATGTAGTAGATCTTATATCATCACATTATGGACATTAGAACAAAAGCCGTTATACTCGTAAATAATGAAGTAGATCTTATATCATCACATTATGGACATTAGAATAAAAGATGTTTGTCATCTTCAATATGATCATTACAGTTAAGGCAGACCCTGTCTTCAACCTTTAAATTAATATTATTATAAATATCTGCCTGTTTCTATTCTTAAAGGTGCAATACCACATATAAATTTTGCATAGGCAGAACGGTAACTCAGGGCATACAGCTCTTGACATAGTATTCACAGCAAACACAATCTTTAAAAATCCGTGCGTGCGTGTGTGTCTTGGAGTGTGTGTCTGTGAGTGTGTTTGGGTTTGGGATGGGTGTTTGGGTTTCGAGTGCGTGTGTGTTTAATTTTTTGTGCGCGGAGGTGTGTTTAGGGTTTTGGGTGCGCGCGAGTGTGTTTTGTTTTGGGTGAGCGGATGTGTGTTTGGGTTCTAGGTGCGTGTGTGTACGATTTGGTTTTGGGCGACTTGGTGGGTGGGTCATATTTTGATTTCTGATTTTAGTATGTCTACGTATTTAAAACAGTATTTGGATAAAATCTTCATTTACATACATCCCACACGACCTTTCCCTTGGATCAACCTTAGGCCAACCTTGGGCCAACCTTGGGTCAACATAGGGTCCACCTTGGGTCAACCTTGGGTCAACCTTGGGCCAACCTTGGGCCAACCTTGGGTCAACATTGGGTCCACCTTGGGTCAACCTTGGGCCAACCTTGGGTCAACATTGGGTCCACCTTTGGTCAACCTTGGGCCAACCTTGGGTCAACATTGGGTCCACCTTGGGTCCACCTTACCTCCTGCTTCTGCTTGACTGGTCCGTCATCTGGATGGCCTCCATCTGATGAAGCGCGGATAGGTCCGGATGTGAGGACTGAATACTTCTCAGTGTATCAATGATAGCAGGGCTGCAATGATGAGTGAGTGAGTGAGTGAGTGAGTGAGTGAGTGAGTGAGTGAGTGAGTGAGTGTTAGTTTACCCGCATTTAGCAATAGTCCAGCGGTATCAAAGTGCGCTGTAAACTGCCCGGATCAAGGACCCGCAAACCAGTGATTGAGTGCATGTGGAGCAGCGTCCACGACGCCGTAGGGACCGCGGTGACACACGAAGTCCCACCTGACCACCCAATCCACAATCCTCAGCTCCAACGACAAGCATCTCATACCAGGGACCCGCCTCAGTGTTCCCATGGAGTAAATGCCATGCTTCTCTTAACAGAGGAAGACCAGTAAATATCGGATTCGACAACCCATTGTCGTAAGAGGCGACTAACGGGATCGGATAGTCAGGCTCGCTGATTTGGTTGATGCATGTTATCATATCCCAGTTGCGTGGATCGATTGCGTGGATCATGAAGTCAATCAGTGGTTTGTCTGGTCCAGGCTCGATTGTTTACAGACCGCCGTTATATAGCTGGAATATTTCTGAGTGCGGCGTTAAACAACAAACAAAAACAACCAACTTAAAATGAGATGTACTGAATATATAAAAAAACAGATGGAAGCAAATAATTCATTGGGGAAATAATTGCGTTTGTAAACCAAAACGTAGTCAAATAATCGTTATGCATGCTGAAACATGTCATCTAAATGCTTCAGTTTGATTAGTTTGTTTCCAAAATATGCCTCGGAATCCCCACGGAGTTGTCACGAAGTGGTCACAAATAAATTCCTGTCTCGGCCATTGTATTTATTTAGAACACTTAATATTACCAGGAGGTAATCTGTGTGTTAAGTGTTCCCGATATGCGGTGTATGTATAGAGAGTGTATGTAGCGTATTAACTACAGGGGTCCGCTTGGCTGCAACCAGGGTACGGAGGCTCACTTTAACAGAATGAATTAACACTTTATGTTTTGCTGTTCTGACCGTGATGCGTTCCTCGACTGTGAAACAACATCGGCTTGTATTCTTGTGCAACACTCAAAATGTCCATAAGTCACAAATGTTCCCTATTTCTTGTAATTGTAGATGTTGACTTGCACAAGTCTCTAAGGCAATAATTACTTGTTTAAATAATAATTTCTAGATTATGTAAATAATAAGTACAAGTTGTCTCTATATCGAGGCTCCTCTATTAGGAGGATAGAATTGTTACACATCCACGGACTTATCTTTTAGTAAAGCCTTGCAAGTCTAGATGACGAGTTAAAACGCACCGAATTATATCAAACATATACAGTGTAAATATTTAAAGTATAATTTCCAATTATAAAAACAATGTATAAGTAAAAACCACGTCCCATTTTAATTCTGGAAACCCAAAAGTCCAGAAACTCTACGGTCTTTGCCGACTCTCGGTCAAAGGTATTTACAAAATTAAACATGCTGTTTTCATGGGAACATACCAAGGAAGAAAAAATGAAAAAAAAATTGTTCAAAAACTCAATATTTACACTATCTCGCCCATGGGCCTGCCCATGGGCGAAGACTGGCCCATGGGTAGGCCCATGGGCGAGAATATGTTCCTTTACTCAAAACTCATGTTTTTGTTTTGCAAATACATTAAATGTATTTATTCAAGTATCATGACACAAAATTTAACTCATTTTAACTTAATTCAACTATTTTATAGCGATATTGAAATATTTCGCCCATGGGCGAGAATATGTTCCTTTACTTAAAACTCATGTTTTTGTTTCGCAAATACATTAAATGTATTCATTCAAGTATCGTGACACAAAATTTAACTCATTTTAACTTACTTCAACTATTTTATAGCCATATTGAAATATTTCGCCCATGGGCGAGAAAAAGGTTTGGCCCATGGGCGAGAATATGTTCCTTTACTCAAAACTCATGTTTTTGTTTCGCAAATACATTAAATGTATTTATTCAAGTATCATGACACAAAATTTAACTCATTTTAACTTAATTCAACTATTTCATAGCGATATTGAAATATTTTGCCCATGGGCGAGAATATGTTCCTTTACTTAAAACTCATGTTTTTGTTTCGCAAATACATTAAATGTATTCATTCAAGTATCGTGACACAAAATTTAACTCATTTTAACTTACTTCAACTATTTTATAGCCATATTGAAATATTTCGCCCATGGGCGAGAAAAAGGTTTGGCCCATAGGCGAGAATATTTTCCTTTGCTCAACAGTTTTAGTTTCGCAAATACATAAAGATTTTATAAGCATGACACATGATTCAACTCATTTTACCTTAATTCAACTATTAAAATATTTCGCCCATGTTTTCGTCAGTCCCTTTAAATAATTAACTAATTGTGTACACAGTATATTGTATCATGTGAAATATACTTTATATTATATCATTACATTACTATTTAAAAAGGGCCTTTGGTTGGATGTTTCCTTTACAGAAGTTTTACAAATTTCACCTTTTTTACATATTGCAACGATACGCCAATTCATTGGCGACATTTTCCAACACATTAAAGTTTAGTTAGTTTCTTTTTCATTTCCCATTTTATGTCTCGTTGAAACATCATACTGGGAAAGTAAGTGACACTTAGTATGCAATATACAGGTACACGTGCGCGTATTTTAATGGCAACAAAAAACGATTCGTCTTTCATTGCATAACGTCTGGCTGAATATCTCACATTCTAACGAAATCTCGAAATAATTATTTAATTATATGCGGTGTCGAACTGACCCAGGGGAGTAATGTTTACAGGCGATTGAGGAAAACTTGAGTGAATATTATAACACTAAAGCAACTTTTAAATGCATTGTCACTTTTGGTATGAAAATGGTAACAGTTCAGAAAAAACAACAGCCTTCTTATGATAATTCTCATATTCTCATTAGGACGTTGTATCTAATTATAGTGTCGGCCTTATTTACAGGTGATTCTACAATACCTGCTCTCGGTCAGTTACGATTTACCACACCACGCGTGAATAAACAGTTATCCAGGTGTTGCTGTGGGCAAATACTTAGCCTGAAAATGTATATTTATTTTGTGGATACATGTTTTACAAATTTTCGTTGATATGTGGATATATTAAGCACAAAGACAAAACAATGTTTATGAAAGATGAATTAGTGCCTGTGAATATTCATCGAGATGTGTATCATCGTTTAATGGGGTCATTCAATAAAAGTATGTTTGGAGGAGATATCAAAGGAGCCGCCCAATATACACAGTGTCGTCCAGTGAACTACCATCCCACCCTGTCAAAAGTAGTTATGTAATCGGTACACAAATATATTTGATGCGGTGTCAGTGTGGAAGGAGTTTGAATTACGTCTCAGGTTATTATTGTTTGGAGTTCACATTTTTGGGCATTTCAGATACTAATTGAACAGAGTTCACCTGCACATATCCACTTTAGTGAGACAGACTGTAACCAAAAATGCAATTAGCCGTAGCTCCTAATCCCTTATAACAACGGTAACAACAACCAGGGTGAGGACCCAGTAAGGTTAAACCGTGTCCAACAGACAATCTCAGGTGGCTAACGCAATATCTCCCATCAAGTCAGCTCTGTTTTTAAGCGCATAATTATGTTTTTACATATTGAAATAAAAGGAATTTAAAAAAATCATTTTTAACAAACCTACACATTACCAAATACAAAACCTTATAACCCTTTCTAGACTTCGTTCCAATTAACCTGGATCATTCAACTCGCTCGCGAAGGTCGTATACGACTTTTAAGTGAATACATCTACAGTGTATCATATATACTCATGATGAGCAATTATTTTCGTTCCTAATTCGAATGAGCACATTCTGAGGCTAAATCTGCAAAAGGACAGACAAAATATTTCTTTGTACAATGCAAACGATACAAATGTAGCGGCTGATAATAGAGACAATGATTTAATAATCTGCAATATATCATTTGTTCTCGTTCAATTTATTGTAGATATTAAAGTGATTGTAAATTTTCAAGGAGTACTAAAATGTTGTGGTATTATGATGTATTTAGAATATGAATAGCGAAAAACAGTCACAATATCGGATGTACATGTATAACTTTTCTTCCATCACCACGCTTGTGCCGAGGCCCATGGTCATAAAACTAATCGGTCCTATAAAAGGAGCAAATAGTTTCGCAGATGGTACTTGCTATGGTTCACTCCCAATTGACAGACGACCTAATCATCAGACAGACCAGTCAAGTGTGACCAGTGTACCTGCCTGGTTTTACCTCCTAATTACTGAGCTGCCCAATACTGTCATACTGTGGGCAGAATAAGCGGCGCCAACTTGTTGAGTGATACAGATTAACCAGATTATGATTGTGTTTGTAAGTTGCGTTTAATCTGTGTCGGATTGCAGTTGTTTTACTAGGCAAGAAGACCAGGGGTAGTTTTTTCAAAGAAACCTTTTAGCCGTTGAGTTTGTTTTGTATTCATTTCATTAAATACATTGTTAGGTAGAATAATAACACGTTATATGGATTAAACATCTCCCTAACCTGAGTATAATCTCATATGTACTCTAAGTTCCGTACTATATTACTTTGCGGAGACATTGAGTATGATTTTTGAGTTGGCATTGTATGCTGTCTGAATGACTTTACACAAATCCCTGCGTCAATGGACCCGTGAAGATCTTCAACAACCCATTCTTGGCGTAAAAGGGCGACAGCGCTTGTCGTAAGAGGCGACTAAAGGGATCGGGTGGTCAGGCTCGCTGACTTGGTTGATGCATGTCATCGTATCCCAATTGCGTGGATCGATGCACATGATTTCAATCACTGGATTGTCTGGTCCAGACTCGATTATTTACAGAAAGCCGTCATACAGCTGAAATATTGCTAAGTGCGGCGTTATACAACTAACAAACAAACAGAATTTTGAGGAATTCACAATAATCACTATGACGAGGTATGCATATCTTGCAATCAACCTGAATCCAGTTACTGGAATGTCAAACCCGCTTGGTTAAAACAAGAATTGCAGTTAGATCCGCTATATG